ACACCTGTTTCAAAGTTCCTGATTAAAAATTTTTACCCTTTCTTTTGATTCGGAGCATTTTTGCTTCCAGCAACGTAGAAGCATTATTACCGTATTTCCCTTGGAATAACTTGTCCCTGTCCTATCAGGGAAGGTTTTATATTTCAATGATCTTAGTGTTATTCTTCCATAAACGTGATACCACCATTCTGACATTGAGAATATTTTACTTGTGGTATCAATTGTTTGAATTTATATGAATTCATGAAAGTTTAAATCTGAAACAATTTATTTTGTATTATTAGTTAGTAGTCCATTATGATGTAATTATATTAAAACTGATAGGAGAGTGGCACATAAAAGGAAATGTCGATATTCCATACTGTATTTCTTCCTCAAAATAAAATCTGATAAAACTCCCATGGAACCAGGTTGTAGGATATATTTCCAAATGTCTGTCTACTTTTGTGAAAACTGGCTTAAAATTTCTGTGCAGGCTAAATTATGAATATTGCTTGTGTTAAACGAGATGTTGATTTGATTAAGTTAATGCAGTTTCACAAATACAAAGAATTAAATTGTTAAAGTTTCCTTTGGCTTCACAGCTTGGATGAAAGCTATAGAGGCCCCAGGTAATCTTGTATCTGCAGCAAACATAAGGTTTTAATGGAACACCCTGCCACAAGAAGATGGGGTTGGCAGCTTTGTAAATAATCAAATGTTCTTGTATTCTAAGCCTGTCAGCTGGTTCTGCCTGGTAGATGGTACCTGGGTATGTAGACACAACTCTATTCCACCTGTGAGCAATATAGATGTTCATTAAACCAGTCCATAGATAATTAACTTCAGATTTACATTACTGTAAGGCACAAGAAGGTATGATTTCTAAAAATCAAATTAGAAACATAAACAATTTGATAAAGAAGGCTGAATATGATTATTTTATTGAAATAGATTTACATTGGTGAAGGCACAAGAAGGTATAATTTCTAAAAAAAATAATTTCAAGCTGAAAGATAGTGATGAAGAAGTGAGAATATGAATAATTCATCACACTTAACTTTAATGAATTAACGGTTGGTCAGTATCTTTATGTCACGGGATCGGAAGATTGGGGCATATTTTTTTTGTGCTGTCTGTTTGTCTGTTGTCAAATTTACTAAAAATATTGCACCGTAGGCGGTAGGGCTTTCATATTTGACTTGTGTGTTCCTTATGACAAGACCTTTCTGGTGGCGTCAAAAGTTTTGACCAGGTGAACTTGACCATGATCTTTGACCTACAATTGAAAGTTTTAACTTTGGCCATAACTATTGAACTAAGAATGTTAAGTCATTACCACAATGATGATGTAAGTGTTTCACAAAGTTTGCATGCAATTAGCACATGCCTTACACAGTACAGTTTTCATGTCCTACGTCAGAATTTTGTTGTAACTAGGGATATCGCGTTTCATAAACACATCTTGTTTGCAGGATTTTTTAAGGCAGGTCAAGAACCCCAATTCAAAGTCCCAATAATGACAGAATTTATTTTTATTGAGTCTCTGGGAGGAAAGTGTGAGTCTAAGACTCGAATATCTGAATCCCAAAAATCAGTGGTTGGTGTTAGTTCACATTATGGCTGGACCTGTGTGAGATATGTACACAGAATAATCGATATATGTGTTCAGTGTGGTAACATGGCTTGATATTACATGCTTAGATTCATATTCCTGGAGACTATATACAGAAATATTAAGAAGTTTATTTATATGTGATGCAAACTTTATTAAAATATTTTCTGCATAAATGGATAATTATAACATTAAGAATATAAGGACTTGAAAAACCTTAGTTTTAAGATGATACAGGAGTTATCCCCCTTAGTATGTGTGTTATCTAGGGATTCAACATAGAACTTTTACAAATGAACAATTGACAAACTAATTTTATCAGAAAGTATAATGTTTCATGTAAATAAACTCATAACTGTTGTATTGCAATAAGAATGTTTTATTTTATTGAAGATCATTCACTATTTAGGAATATTTACGAATTTTGCATGAAATAATGAAATAGTTTTAATAAATGTGTTTTATGCCCTAGTATACCCTGAAGATTTGTTTTAGAATTATAAATAAGCTATGCCCCCCCACATTGATGAAACACAAGCCTTTCTTTGTGGTCACTGGTTACTTCAGAAATATCTGAATAAAAAAAGTTCAAGTTCGTCATTCTGTATACACAATATACAAAGCTTTGTCATACATGTATAAGGTTACATACTCAATTACCTTAGGATTGCTAAATCCTTATACTATATCCTCTTGTAATGGTGAAATATCCTTTACTAGAATAAGGTCTTATGACTGTGTTGTCTTATAGTCACCAATTTTTACATGTGAGTACCTTTTCAAATTGTAGATCTCTGTTATCAGGTTCTATATCAAGTTATGATGCTTTCTTCACTGTTATTCTTTATGAATGATATAAACTTGTGTTTTATGAGTTCTTTATACAGAGTTATTGCCCTTTTATATAATGTATATAAAATGTTAAGTTATATCCTGTTAGTGATCCAATGTGAAACATTACATATACTGTTGTACTGAATTGCTCCCTACTGTGAAGTACCTTGTGATTAGGAATACACATTACCCAGCCATGTTTGCTGGTGGCTGCTGATTGCTGAAAACACTAGGCCTCTTGTTTCAGAGATTCTGATATGCTCATACTATCAGTGGGTTCCCTGGTCAGTGATAGGAATGTGAAAAACTTCAGTGAGAATGTATAGATGATGGAGAGATGGGGGACAGAAGGGGTCATATTTATATATACTATAAATAAACAGCCCACAAAGCAATTACTATGATTATGACTAGTTTATCTCTGGGCCAAGGCATTCAACCACCTGTGGCTAGGAAATCAGTTCTGTAGATTGCTAAAAAGACCCACAACTTCTTAATACACTCACATACATTATCAAAATAGAGGGGATCGTGGTGAATTATACTGTAGTTTTTCATCCGGAAAAGAAAAAAAAAGGTGGCGAGTTCGCTAGCTCTCTATGATTTGAGCTGAATAATGCTTCATTCACAATGTTTGGTTCTTCATCCTTAAAGTATTGTGTGCAAAAGTAATGATTCCAGATGTAGGAAGCATTTCAGATCTAGTTCAGGTAGGTGCATTTAAGCATTTTCCTGTCAAATTAACTTGTACTGTTGTAGGTGGCACTACACTTTGTCTTAGACCAAGTATTGGCGCTTAACGTTGAGACTGCTCTATTGCTACAATTTTTGAAATTTGTTCGGGTTAAGTACTCTTTAAAGTCATTTTTGGGTTTGTTTATTCAAGATTTTTATTTTCTGTGTAACTTTGTAATTTTCCTATGCAACCAGGGAACAATGGATGACTATGATAACTATAAGTTGTTATTTTCGTGTATTTTGATATCTGTCTCAATTGATTTTGATCCCCTCCTTACCAGAAGTTGGGATATTTAATAAAATGGTGTCCATATTCATATTTCTTTGATACTTTTGTCAGTGATGTGACTAAAGATGTTCTACACAATTTGAATTCAATTGCTTTGTGTACTTATTAATTGCCTAAGTATGCTGCAATAGGGCACCATAAGGGAGGTAACTCTATGTGATGAAAATAATAGTTCTTAAGTTGTTGTTAATGAGATAAATGAATTATTATTTAGAGTTTTATAGTGCTGCAGAAATATTTGTATATTTTACAAAATAGGGATGAATAATTCTTTGTTTTACCCTGCTAATGGAAACATTTGAAGGCCAGTGGGTCTGTAGAGATGATATTCTATCCACCTCTGTGGAGATAGTGCTGTAGTTGATCAGATGTAGAGAGAAGCATAGGGCAAGGTGCCACTAAATCACCCTTAGTTTTTATCAGGACACTGGGCGTCTATACAATACATTGTCGTACCAATAGAAATATGTGTTGGTACATTATCATTCTCTTTCTTGGCTACTAGTAACTGTTTTTCTGATTGTGTATAATCTCGTGGCAGAGCCTGATATCAGACAAGATGGAGATCTGTTGTTAAAGATGAAATCACTCAAGACAAGAGAAATGTCAGAAAATACGTGACTGACAGTATGTGAATAAATTTGTATATATACCGTATTTATCAGACAATAAATCCATACCTACAAATAAGCCAAGCACCTTTTGATGTTCAGTAGAAATGACCTTTGAAATTGTGATTTATTAACCTGTAATAACCCCATGTTCCAACTAGAAAGAAGTAATGTGTCATGGCCTCTTGACACGGGATTATGAAACAGCTTTGAATTTAAGCCTTTTACGTAGCCAACCACATAAGACATCTCTTATCTAGACATAAACTGTGATAGGTTAAGTCAAAACTTAAGGACAATTTTAAATTTCAGATCATTTTGTAATCCTGTGGTTTGTTACAGGAAAGATACATACAGTATACATGATGTTTGATTGTGTGCAGTTTAAATACAAATTGTTCTTCTGATCTTTCCCCTTCAAATTAAATGGGAACATTTTTTATTTTAATTAAATAGAATTTTCAGTCATTATTGCATTTAAAGTGAAGATATTTTTAATCAGGTGAATGATACCTTTAATTTGCATTAGGTTTAATAGACTAGCTTAAATGATTTCAGGTAAAAACAGTAGATCTTCAAAAACCACTAGAACAAACTGGGTTGTATTCTGACAAAAACTAGCCAGGTATAAAAGTGTGTGTTTCATTCACACCTGTAACATGGTTTGTAAACACCTGATAACATCCTTTATTAATGAGCAGACGCTCTCGGGTACAAAAGACAGGAAAGTCGAGTTTAGCTGTGTTGTACACCAGAATGATTTTTAGTTTTTGTTTTTTCATTTCTACCTCCAAGACACCAAGAGCAGATTGAGCCAGTGTATATATACCTGAGTGATTAAAATTTTTGTTTTTTCATTTCCACCTCCAAGACACCAAGAGCAGATTGAGCCAGTGTATATACACCTGAGTGATTAAATTTTTTGTTATTTCAGTTCTACCTCCAAGACACCAAGAGCAGCAATGGCACCTTCATCAACAATCAGCGTCTATGTAAGGGCGGGGAGGAAAGCCCTGCCCGAGAAGTCTACTCTGGGGACCAGATACAGTTCGGTGTTGATGTCATGGAGAACAATCGACGCGGTGAAAAAAGTATGTATCGTTTAGTGTTTACCGTAAATTTCTGCGTATAGTGCGCACTTTTTCAAGCTAAAACTATCGTGTCAAAAAGGGGGTGCGCATTATACCCAGGAACATGCCATTCTTTGGGTTATCATTCCCGAGTTCTGAGTCTGCCATATTGGATTATCTCCCTTCACATAGTTATGTGTAAAAGTTGTCAGTCATATATGATAGTTTGGAGATAAAAACATATATCAAATATCTGGATTAAATGACACTGAAGAGATCTGTTGTTGAAAGTCAGTTTGAAAAAGTTGATGAAGTGAGAAGAATATAAATAAAATTTCCCATCTTTGTAGGAAAGACAGAAAGAACCTTTAGGGATGTTTAATAGAACAGAAAACCATTTCAACTAGTTATCTTTGATAAAAAAAAATAGTCTTTCGGAGATATCTCCCTGCCCTGTTAAAATTATAGACAATAAGATTTTCTTAAACATATTACATGATTGTTCAGTAACCTCAACAGATTATATGAAAGTCTGTAGTACATATCAGCTCTACCATCAAGCTGTTTATAGTACATCTAGATACTGTTGTTTTCTATGTAGTCTATTTGCAGAAGAATGTTTGTGTAAGTTGTGTAATTAAGCTATGAAACTTAGATATCTTCACCTAGATCATAACCATCTCTTGTTTTCACTTCAAAAACATTCCAAAACAGGTTCTTAAGTGGGTTCCTAAGCAGCAGTTGTTAGATAGGGAATTTGAATTAGAAAGCCTTTGGGCGATAATGATGAAGAGAAGTTTGATGTTTTATTCTGTTGGAGTTATCTCCCCTCTATTATTTCACTCACTGCTTGTTAAATCTACAGTTTTTTTTACAAGATGTGTATTTTAAAAGATTTAGAAATGTGTTAATGATAATGCTATTTAGTTGGAAACGATCCTTACCTAATGTTTAGTTTTTGATAAAATATATTTGCTGCCTGGGTATATCAACTGCAATTTAAGCCTGCTTGCTATTCTGTAGCAGTATTTGGGGTGAAGCAGTGATACAATAAACAGGCCCTGGCAGTCTGTCAAAGTAATAGTAAACTACAGGATTTCACAGTAAGAGTAGGTCAACATCCCAACTAGATGGTTGTTACCATCAGAAAAAATTGTTTCCTCCTAGGCTATAAGAATCCAATTCTCACAATTTTTGTTGGCATATGTACAAATTGGTATTAAATTCAAATATTTCATATTTCGCTTTAAAATCAAAATGGAGTTAGTCATATAAGTATTCCCATTTTTTAAAACTTCTTTTAAGTGTTTTTTATCATCATTTGATTTTTCACTAAAATCCAATTATAGAGATGACCTCTGTGTGAGATTGTGTACATCGTGACCTCTATAATAGGTTGTATATGTGGAAGTGACCTCTGTAACAGGTTGTACATATAGAGGACGCCTTTATATTAGGTTATATATATGTAGGTGACCTCTATAGTAGGTTATATATATATATATGTAGGTGACCTCCTTAGTAGGTTATATATATATGTAGGTGACCTCTATAGTAGGTTATATACATGTAGGTTGCCTCTATAGTAGGTTATATATATGTGCATGACCTCTTTAGTAGGTTATATACATGTAGGTGACCTCTATAGTAGGTTATATATATTTAGGTGACCTCTATGGTTGGTTATATATATATGTAGGTGACCTCTTTGGTAGGTTATATATATGTAGATGACCTCTATAGTAGGTTATATATATGTAGGTGACCTCTATAGTTGGTTGAATATATATAGGTGACCTCTATAGTAGGTTATATATGTATGTAAATGAGGTTGTATATATGGAGGTGACCTCTATAACAAGTTGTATATATGGATATGACCTCTATAACAGGTTGTATATATGGATAAGACCTCTATAACAGGTTGTATATATGGATATGACCTCTATAACAGGTTGTATATATGGATATGACCTCTCTAACAGGTTGTATATATGGATATGACCTCTATAACAGGTTGTATATATGGATAAGACCTCTATAACAGGTTGTATATATGGATATGACCTCTATAACAGGTTGTATATATGGATAAGACCTCTCTAACAGGTTGTATATATGGATATGACCTCTATAACAGGTTGTATATATGGATATGACCTCTATAACAGGTTGTATATATGGATAAGACCTCTATAACAGGTTGTATATATGGATATGACCTCTATAACAGGTTGTATATATGGATAAGACCTCTCTAACAGGTTGTATATATGGATATGACCTCTATAACAGGTTGTATATATGGATATGACCTCTATAACAGGTTGTATATATGGATAAGACCTCTCTAACAGGTTGTATACATGGATATGACCTCTATAACAGGTTGTATATATGGATAAGACCTCTCTAACAGGTTGTATATATGGATATGACCTCTATAACAGGTTGTATATATGGATATGATGTCTGTAATAGGTTTTATGTATTGATATGATGTATATAACAGATTATATATATGGAGAGGATATCTGTAATAGAATGTATATATAAAGGTGACCTCTATAACAGGTGTTTAGTAAATATAGATATTAACATACAGTTTACTGTAGAAATATTATATAAACTGCAAGGTAGCTGATTTAATGTGTATTAATCTGAAAAATTCCGGAGTTCCTGTGATTCTCCTGATTAAAAAACTTTTCATGTAGTGCCAAATATTTGAAATGTGAAATAGATTTGTGTTGAGATGACGATATATGTTGAATTGTTAAGTGGCGTGTCGGGTTACGGTAACATCCTGTCTCTCCACAGTCACTCATGGATGTATCATAGCTACTATCACACTGTTCCACCCCGACGGCAGGGAAGCCAAAAACATGTAAGTCCCACCTTTCTGTTTCTCTCGTATTTAAATTCATTATTTATATCTTACAGCATTTCACATGAGCTTGATATGTGCAAATTCTTAACTTTGTTTCAGGTCTTAACCTACATTTGTTTTCAGTTTTGTGTTACAAATATGAATGAGTTATCTCCCTTATGTATTCCCTTTGCTAATGAGTTATCTGCCCCTCATATAAACTTTAATCAAGAATTTTTTTATTTCACCTTATGTCACAAATTTCCCTGTACAAATATTTAATTGCCTTGATGTGCTCTTTGTACTATTGTGTTATCTGTCAGTTTATATCCCCTTGCTGTTACCTCCCTTATATGACAAGTTTTCATCCCTTTATTTTTGTGTTAAGTTCTCTGCAATAAGTTCTTTTCATTTTGTGTAAGTTTCCTGAAACCATTTATTTAGTATTCATCTAAAATTGTAACTTTTCTTTATAAAATTTTTCAAAACTCACTAATTAAGTTTCAACAGTTAAAAAATTTTGATGAAGAAACCAAGAGACTAGTCCATCAGCTATTTAGACAGGTTCTGCTCAATCTTCTGTATCGGAGATTTGCATCATAAAAGTGTTTGTTATTAAGATAAACTGTGAGCCCAGACATGTGATTTATCTATATCAGGATCAAGTGGCATGGAAGCTTAATCGTAAGAAGTAATATCAGAAATCTTTTCAATTAACAATATATAACTTCAAAGCAAATTTTTCCCAGCATAACCAGCTGATGGATTTTTAGAACATTTACATTTCTTATTTTTGAAATTGTCTAGAAAGTGGTTATGAGTTGAAGAGAAAACCAATATTTGTAGTTGTATGTAAATTAAAAAGGGTTCTTCGACAAATTACATGTTCAGACGTGTCATCGGATGTTACTCTGAGAGCACTTGATGTAGATATATATAGGTTTTCGTGTGTAAAAAGCCACTGTATGCACTTCCTAATGAGGTCAAACCTCTTAACCAAGTACACCTACAAGAGGTATTTCATACTGTTTATTTCACATAACACTAGCAAATGGGAAAAAAAATGTATATATATAATGTATAGCAATCACAAAACTTATTCCCTATATATACTCTGCCATAATGTCTAGTCCCTGTTTGTAACACCCTAATCCTATTTACTAACAAATTGTGATGTCAGACACTTTTGATTTATTGTCTTAATTGATCTTTAGGTTCACTTGCCCTGATTGAATTTTAAAAAGTGAGATGTCTATTGCCCAATGTTTTTAGTTGTTTCCATTATTCCTGTTTCCGGCATAACCAGATCCCTATTGTTATTGAAAAAAAAATTATTTGTTTTCATAAGGTGGCTATAACTACAGGCTTATGAATAAAATGACCACTGAAGCCTGTATGTATTTTACAATCTATAGAACTGAGTACATGTGCAGATATTTTGCTTGATATATTATTTCGTCAATTTGAGATTATTTTTTTATTTCTGCAGAAAATCAGGATATTCAGAAAATGCAGCCAATATCATGCAAGTCATTGTTAAAGTTCACATAGCCTATCTCATCTACTAGGATACTTTCCCCTTGTCTTGCCAAGGGTATTCTACTGGATTCTTTTCACTTACATATTTTGATTATCTCCCCTTCCTGCTTATATCAGCAGTACTAAAATTTGTTATGAAGCTAAAGTTATGTTTTCCTTGCTGTGGTGTTTCACTAAATAACTGGACCATGTGCATATTTAACAAACATTCATACAAATTTTCACCCTTTTACATCTCATCTATTAACAAGAACTTTTTCCCTTGCTGGAGTTGTCTTCTCATTACTGTCAGTTTATACATACATATGAAATGATTGGGCCATGTGTTTACGTATGCAATAATGAATTATGTATATTTTACCTCTCATTTTATGTTTCATCATTTAACAATAGACTTCTCTGTCAACACTTCGCGAGTCTCAATAGCTCACTGAGGTAAAGACCTGGGGTGTGTTTGATGATTCTTAGACAGAGCAGTTTGTGTTTCTCAGGAAGCTGAGAAATAAGACTGGCCTATCACAGTTGTGTGTTTGGGAATTATATTTTATTCCATTGCTCTGGGTGACATGCAACAGGCCTCCAGTATGGTGTTCAGTGAGGGAGTCACCAGATACCACAAAATAATAGCCTTCTCTTGTCCACTCTGTCATAAAATGAGTTCACAAAATTTGCACAAGTGAATAAAAACTTTGTATACAAATTAAGAATTAGATATAGTAGATCTAATTCATTTATGAAACTGCGTCATACAGCTGTTCTTCTAGGACTCGTCAGTGAAATAAATGACTTAAATTGTTGAAACATAAATGACAACTGATAAAAATCAGAAATGGTAAAAGAAAACGTCACAAACTAGATGGAAAGATGAAATTTTGTTTTGTTGGCAGTTTTTACAGATATTTTCAGTAGGTGTAACTATTTACTGCAGCTAGTTTTTACAGATATTTTCAGCAGGTGTAACTATTTACTGCAGCTAGTTTTTACAGATATTTTCAGTAGGTGTAACTATTTACTGCAGCTAGTTTTTACAGATATTTTCAGCAGGTGTAACTATTTACTGCAGCTATTTTCAGCAGTTTTTACAGATTTTTATTTTTCAGTAGGTGTAACTATTTACTGCAGCTAGTTTTTACAGATATTTTCAGCAGGTGTAACTATTTACTGCAGCTAGTTTTTACAGATATTTTCAGCAGGTGTAACTATTTACTGCAGCTAGTTTTTACAGATATTTTCAGCAGATGTAACTATTTACTGCAGCTAGTTTTTACAGATATTTTCAGCAGGTGTAACTATTTACTGCAGCTAGTTTTTACAGATATTTTCAGCAGATGTAACTATTTACTGCAGCTAGTTTTTACAGATATTTTCAGCAGCTATTTACTGCAGCTAGTTTTTACAGATATTTTCAGCAGGTGTAACTATTTACTGCAGCTAGTTTTTACAGATATTTTCAGTAGGTGTAACTATTTACTGCAGCTAGTTTTTACAGATATTTTCAGCAGATGTAACTATTTACTGCAGCTAGTTTTTACAGATATTTTCAGTAGGTGTAACTATTTACTGCAGCTAGTTTTACAGATATTTACTGCTAGCTAGCAGGTGTAACTATTTACTGCAGCTGTAACTTTTACTGCAGCTATATTTTCAGCAGGTGTAACTATTTACTGCAGCTAGTTTTTACAGATATTTTCAGCAGGTGTAACTATTTACTGCAGCTAGTTTTTACAGATATTTTCAGCAGGTGTAACTATTTACTGCAGCTAGTTTTTACAGATATTTTCAGCAGGTGTAACTATTTACTGCAGCTAGTTTTTACAGATATTTTCAGCAGATGTAACTATTTACTGCAGCTAGTTTTTACAGATATTTTCAGCAGATGTAGCAGCTGTTTTTACTATATTTTCAGCAGATGTAACTATTTACTGCAGCTAGTTTTTACAGATATTTTCAGTAGGTGTAACTATTTACTGCAGCTAGTTTTTACAGATATTTTCAGCAGATGTAACTATTTACTGCAGCTAGTTTTTACAGATATTTTCAGCAGGTGTAACTATTTACTGCAGCTAGTTTTTACAGATATTTTCAGCAGGTGTAACTATTTACTGCAGCTAGTTTTTACAGATATTTTCAGCAGATGTAACTATTTACTGCAGCTAGTTTTTACAGATATTTTCAGCAGATGTAACTATTTACTGCAGCTAGTTTTTACAGATATTTTCAGTAGGTGTAACTATTAACCGCAGCTAGTTTATACAGATATTTTCAGCAGGTGTAACTATTTACTGCAGCTAGTTTTTACAGATATTTTCAGCAGGTGTAACTATTTACTGCAGCTAGTTTTTACAGATATTTTCAGCAGGTGTAACTATTTACTGCAGCTAGTTTTTACAGATATTTTCAGCAGGTGTAACTATTTACTGCAGCTAGTTTTTACAGATATTTTCAGCAGGTGTAACTATTTACTGCAGCTAGTTTTTACAGATATTTTCAGCAGATGTAACTATTTACTGCAGCTAGTTTTTACAGATATTTTCAGCAGATGTAACTATTTACTGCAGCTAGTTTTTACAGATATTTTCAGCAGGTGTAACTATTTACTGCAGCTAGTTTTTAAAGATATTTTCAGCAGGTGTAACTATTTACTGCAGCTAGTTTTTACAGATATTTTCAGCAGATGTAACTATTTACTGCAGCTAGTTTTTACAGATATTTTCAGTAGGTGTAACTATTTACTGCAGCTAGTTTTTACAGATATTTTCAGTAGGTGTAACTATTTACTGCAGCTAGTTTTTACAGATATTTTCAGCAGGTGTAACTATTTACTGCAGCTAGTTTTTACAGATATTTTCAGTAAGTGTAACTATTTACTGCAGCTAGTTTTTACAGATATTTTCAGTAAGTGTAACTATTTACTGCAGCTAGTTTTTACAGATATTTTCAGCAGGTGTATTTTCAGCAGGTGTATATTTACTGCAGCTAGTTTTTACAGATATTTTCAGCAGGTGTAACTATTTACTGCAGCTAGTTTTTATTTTTCAGCAGGTGTACAGCTGTGAAAGGGATGATAGTTTTTACAGAATCTATTTTACTGCAGCTATGGCTTTGTTGTAGGACTTCACTATAGTTGCTGTTTCTATAAATGGAAAGAAACCTGACATTGTGGTAAAAAAAGAACAAGATTGTGCATTTCACATTGACAAGTGGTAGGAAAGGTGGATGTAATTGATCAGGAGTGACCAGTGCTCTTGATGACCTTGACCACAACAGATAGAAAGACATGGGAACTGGTAAGAAGACCTGATCTTAATAGGAATACTTACAAGTATCTTCAAGTCTACTGTGTACATGTTATAGATGGGGTGAATATACTCAAAAAATAAGGAATAAGTGTATGAAATTATTCATAGGGTATTAACACTGTGAAAGGGATGATAGGAATCTATTTTATCTTGGTGAAGGACTTCCTATCTTGCTGTGAGCATTTCTTATAAAAAAGAACATGATTGATTTCACTTGATGGTATGGATGTCAGGATGTTCTGATCTAGCCCTGAACCATTCTGTTAAATATCAATAATAATGAAATTATTCGTATTGCGTGGATTATGATGATGTGACTGTTGATAGGTCAGCTAGATGGTGGGTAGACTGATTCTGTGATAGATGTATGGGATATATATATAGTCACAGAATATTGTGTATTGTCCAGGGGCACAATTCTATATATAATTTACCATAATCTGTGTACATAGCTTTGTGTAAGTCAGTTCCTGCTGGCAATCAGAATTATACCATATCTATTAAACTGCTGATTTCATATCTGGATTGTATCACTGCCAGGTGATCAAGAAAATTACAGAGGAAATCAATGATTTCCATGTCACACACCCCCCCTCCCCCCTCCCCTCTCCCCCCACCCCCCTGTGGCTGTTGCCAATGGTTAGTCATATAGCTAGGTCAAGGGAAGTTACCTACAAATCAGGTATAAGTTACCTTACATCAGTTTGGGATATGTTTGTCTCTTAGCAGTTCAAAACAAACACAAAAAGCACCATGATTAGCAGGTACATTATATTGACTTAGGTTTCTATAATGATGGATCGCGTAGAGTAAAATAGAGTTTTAAAGAGGTTTTATATTCACATGTTATATACTCTGTATATTCGTAGTCCATTTCTGCTCATAAGCCCAACTCTATCTTCTACGGTTCTATAGAGGATGACAACAAACACTTTTACATTGTCCAGTATATAGACTTCTAAATAAGACCACAGCCCTTTAGACGAACAATGATGTTTCTCATGAACTGATGAACAAATTTAGTTTATATTTACATAGCATCACCTGGTTGAAGTCTACACCTAATTAGATATTGTGGTCATTGGTTAAGGCTAAAGGTCAAAAGTCACCCTTGACCACTTGAAATAAAAAGTTGGAAAGCAGAAGAAAATGATGAGTGGTTGGGGATCTCAATGTGAGCTCCTACTCGCCTTGTTTGTTTGCAGGAAAAATACAGTGATATGATAAAATGTAATTTCAGTCAGTCCCTATTCAAGTTTTTCTTCCTCTGAGAAATGAAATGTGTCATGCTGCTTATCATGGTTCAGTGAACTTGTTTTTGTTGAAAGATGAAGAATAAAAGTTTGAATTGTGAGGAATACTTCCCAGTATCTAGATTGTATGTTAGATTGTTGGTGATTCATCACCCTCTCAAATCTAAGGTCATATGATGACAGGCAGGGTCAAGGTCAGTTTTAAGGTCATCAAAGTAAAGGTCATAGGTTATGATGTTCCCTTGGTGTTAATTGATATGACAGAGGTAGCTGAATGAATCCTACAATGTTATTGATACTGCCTCCATTAGAGCAGATGTTTTCTGTGATACAAGTCATGTGATCATTAGAAATAAATATTTCACTTCTAGAAAAAAGCAGCGAAGTTGTGTTACAGTACTCCTATTGTATACATGTGAAATAGGTAGATGGGTGGGGAGGATGTGATGTAGGGCTTGGGAGGTGGAGGGGTAGGGATAAATGACATTTTATGGAAGGAGAAAGTAGGGAGTTACCTAATATCAGGTTAATGGCTGATGATTGGGTTGGGGAGGGAGGGGCCATTTATTGGGCCAGAGTAACAGATACGTTGCAGGATAGAAATTATTTTGTGGTAGTAATGAATAGGAATGAAATATAGATAATACATCCCAAACTCCCCACTATATCATAGTATTTGTACCTCAATAACAATGACACCTCCCCAGCAACAGCTGCGACATGTATAACTAGCTTTGGCCAGCAATTAATGGCTTATTATCGAAAATTGTGCTGGGTGGTAAAATGTCATTGCATAAACTCCGGAACATTAATCAACATTGAGGTCTTCCTGGCCTAATAATGTGTTTATGTAAGGCAAAAACATGGCGGATCAACGTTTACTTCAGCAAAGGGATGTGGGCTCCAGTACCGATAAAAATACAGCTATGTGATACTTTTTAACAAGGTCAAATGTGAAAATTCAGAATCTAGGCTGTAAGAATTGTGTGTTTGTCTAGGAGATGGGATGCCTGCCAAGCTCTTTATGGACTAACAGGTATATTGGTAAGAGAGAAGTTGGGAATTGGGTTTGAAAGACTGGGAGGCCAACCTTTTTGAAAGAGCAAGAGTAATCTCCCCTTACTTCATAGCTTAGTTTGTAGTCTTATTTAGGGCAGGATCTATCGAGAGATACCCATCAATATTTGTTGTAATTGGAAAAATAACATACATTCACTAGAAGGAGCTCATGCTTGAAATATTTCTTTTTCGAAATTAAATTTATAAATTTTCATTTTGGAGTTTTAAATTTTCAAATGTATATAATCTATTTATTATAATTCCAAAAGTCTCGAATAATTTTTGTTTTGGAATTAACAGATTCAATTCCATGTTTCACAATTTCTCTGCTTTATGAATTAAATGTAGTTCATTGTCCCTATAACAGTTCATTTATAATTCCCTGATGTAGATTGATATAAAAACTTTGAATATTTCCAAAAACTTTAAAGACAAATGATTGAAATTTAAGAAAACATTCCTTTTCTGTGTACTTAATTCTATACACATTAGAAGATTCAGTGTGGTATACCTGTAACCTAGATACAATACAAATGTGAAACAGCATACATTGTTATCTGTACTGCAGATAGGAAACAGGAAATGGATTCTATATAGTAAGTACAGATGTAGAATTAAAATCAAACAAAAAATATATAAAGTAAAGTATGAAGGTAGTAATGGAATACACTAAAGTATTATGGTATGTAGTTACTGCATTGTCTTTTATCATATCCAACAACAGAAATAGGGAGTAACACATTATGTTACTTTTGATGTTTAACCCTATCTAGGACAGAGAAGGATTTATCAGACTGTAGCAGGAAACAGGTGTCTAAACATCAACACTAACTCTGTATGTTGACGCCATTGTTTACAGAAATATTTACAATAACTTAAAATTATTCATTTATGTACATATCTTTCTGTGATCCTCTCCATCTAGATTATGACATTTCTTCAACCACATTTGATTTTCCTCCATTGTGTCCAAGGTTTCAAAGTCTAGGCCTTTAGCATCACTGATGATTCCTAGAAGGAAGAAACTGCTGTATAGTGCAATTTAATTAATTGTTTGATTCACTTGTGTGTCTTTTGCATAGTCTTTGAACTCTGTTAATAAAACATACAAAAACATGTACTTGAGTAGATTAAAGTAGAACATGTGTATGTCTTTGATAATCAAATATATAATGTGTTGAAAATAAATGACATGTTCTTTCAGCTCCAAAGATCTGTGACAATCGTTACAGTCATACAGACATAATATTATACATGTATAGAAACTTGATACATGGTGTCAGAAAATAAATACATTTTTGAAATGAAACTGAAAAGGTGGAGCTTACTTTGATAGTTAAAAATTATTTCAGTACAAAACAATAGGAGTGTTTAAGACTACCCAGTTGCCAAAGTGGTACTGGGAGGTAATGTAGTGATAGACTGGTGACTTTCTTGAACCTTCCATCAAATGTATGTTATAGAAACTTATGAGATTAGCACTGATTTTAATTGTCCATACTCAACATCCTGCATTTGTCTTTAAATCATTTGTGCATAGTGATAACAGATATAGACTCTAAACATTGTACACTTTTATTTTGTATTCCTGTCATGTTTCTGTAACTCTAACCATTGTACACTTTTATTTTGTATACCTGTTGTGTCTATATTTTGTATACCTGTTGTGTCTATATTTTGTACACCTGTTGTGTCTGTAACTCTAACCATTGTATACTTATGTTTTGTATATCTGTCATGTCTCTTTATCTTATCAGATCTAGATGTATTGGAGACCTGTCATAAATATTGTTGTCTTCATTGTAATGTGTCAGATTTTTAAAATCTAATATTGAAGTTATTTAGGTCAAAATTTATATTTGTTGTAAACTGTACCTTGACATCTTTCTTTTTACATCATCACATTTCAGTGCTTTTTTTAAAGTGTCGTCTGTTTCTACATGACAAGTATTGTTTTTTTCATTGTAGTTATTCGGAATCAAGCCCATTTGTGAACACAGTTGCACCTGGTATTTCAATACAGTCTCAGGACCTGTACCAGTTAGCACATTACTTACAGGTGAGAAATTTTTCTCAGTTGTGCCCTTTATCATCACACTTACTGATGTCCTAAATCTATACTTGAATTTTAGCTCACCTGGCCCAAAGGTACAGAGGTCAAATGTATTAAAACCTTTAAAGGACTTCTTCCAAAATACTGGAAGGCCTAGAATCATTATATTTGACTGAAAGGTTCCTTTGATGAAGCCCAACCAAGTTTGCGAAAAAAAATAACCTTGACCCATATTCAAAGTCGCAGAGGTCAAATGTGTTCAAAATCTTTAAACAACTTCTCCCCAAATACCGGAAGGCCTAGAATCATTATAAAAGGCTACTATGTTCCACTTATGGTGTCCTACAAATTTTGCTAAAAAAAATGACCTTTACCAATCTTCAAGGTCACAGGGGTCAAATGTGTTAAAACGTTTAAAACAATTTCTTCTGAAATATCAAAAAGCCTAGAATCATTATATTTGGCCAGTATGTTCCTTTTATGAAGTCCAAGAAAGTTTGCAAAAAGAAATGACCTTGACCCATAGTGAAGGTCAGAGGGTTCAAATGTGTTAAACGTGGAACATATGCACAGATGTAGTATTGTTGGTCATAAAGATCCAGGTGAGCGATATAGGTCCTGTGGGTCTCTTGTTTATGATTCTGACACATGTATTACCTTTAAAGATGTGATTTTGTAACTTTAATATATTTTCGATCTTAATTAGTCATCGTTAAGCAATTTAGTTTAGATGTGAAGGACATTGCTATATTGATTAGATCAACTATGAGATGTAGTGGACATTATACACTGTTTCTGTGTATGGTGGGCCTTGTTATACACTGTTTCTGTGTATGGTGGGCCTTGTTATACACTGTTTCTGTGTATGGTGGGCCTTGTTATACACTGTTTCTGTGTATGGTGGACCTTGTTATACAGTGTTTCTGTGTATGGTGGGCCTTGTTATACACTGTTTCTGTGTATGGTGGGCCTTGTTATACACTGTTTCTGTCTATGGTAGACCTTGTTATACAGTGTTTCTGTCTATGGTGGGCCTTGTTATACACTGTTTCTGTGTATGGTGGACCTTGTTATACACTGTTTCTGTGTATGGTGGGCCTTGTTATACACTGTTTCTGTGTATGGTGGACCTTGTTATACACTGTTTCTGTGTATGGTGGGCCTTGTTATACACTGTTTCTGTGTATGGTGGACCTTGTTATACACTGTTTCTGTGTATGGTGGGCCTTGTTATACACTGTTTCTGTGTATGGTGGGCCTTGTTATACACTGTTTCTGTGTATGGTGGACCTTGTTATACACTGTTTCTGTGTATGGTGGGCCTTGTTATACACTGTTTCTGTGTATGGTGGGCCTTGTTATACACTGTTTCTGTGTATGGTGGACCTTGTTATACACTGTTTCTGTCTATGGTGGGCCTTGTTATACACTGTTTCTGTGTATGGTGGACCTTGTTATACACTGTTTCTGTGTATGGTGGGCCTTGTTATACACTGTTTCTGTGTATGGTGGACCTTGTTATACACTGTTTCTGTGTATGGTGGGCCTTGTTATACACTGTTTCTGTGTATGGTGGGCCTTGTTATACACTGTTTCTGTCTATGGTGGGCCTTGTTATACACTGTTTCTGTGTATGGTGGGCCTTGTGATACACTGTTTCTGTGTATGGTGGGCCTTGTTATACACTGTTTCTGTGTATGGTGGGCCTTGTTATACACTGTTTCTGTGTATGGAGGGCCTTGTTATACACTGTTTCTGTGTATGGTGGACCTTGTTATACACTGTTTCTGTGTATGGTGGGCCTTTTTATACACTGTTTCTGTGTATGGTGGGCCTTGTTATACACTGTTTCTGTGTATGGTGGGCCTTGTTATACACTGTTTCTGTGTATGGTGGGCCTTGTTATACACTGTTTCTGTGTATGGTGGACCTTGTTATACACTGTTTCTGTGTATGGTGGGCCTTGTTATACACTGTTTCTGTGTATGGTGGGCCTTGTTATACACTGTTTCTGTGTATGGTGGACCTTGTTATACACTGTTTCTGTCTATGGTGGGCCTTGTTATACACTGTTTCTGTGTATGGTGGGCCTTGTTATACACTGTTTCTGTCTGTGGTGGGCCTTGTTATACACTGTTTCTGTGTATGGTGGGCCTTGTGATACACTGTTTCTGTGTATGGTGGGCCTTGTTATACACTGTTTCTGTGTATGGTGGGCCTTGTTATACACTGTTTCTGTCTATGGTAGACCTTGTTATACAGTGTTTCTGTCTATGGTGGGCCTTGTTATACACTGTTTCTGTGTATGGTGGACCTTGTTATACACTGTTTCTGTGTATGGTGGGCCTTGTTATACACTGTTTCTGTGTATGGTGGGCCTTGTTATACACTGTTTCTGTGTATGGTGGACCTTGTTATACACTGTTTCTGTGTATGGTGGGCCTTGTTATACACTGTTTCTGTGTATGGTGGACCTTGTTATACACTGTTTCTGTGTATGGTGGGCCTTGTTATACACTGTTTCTGTGTATGGTGGGCCTTGTTATACACTGTTTCTGTGTATGGTGGACCTTGTTATACACTGTTTCTGTGTATGGTGGGCCTTGTTATACACTGTTTCTGTGTATGGTGGGCCTTGTTATACACTGTTTCTGTGTATGGTGGACCTTGTTATACACTGTTTCTGTCTATGGTGGGCCTTGTTATACACTGTTTCTGTGTATGGTGGACCTTGTTATACACTGTTTCTGTGTATGGTGGGCCTTGTTATACACTGTTTCTGTGTATGGTGGGCCTTGTTATACACTGTTTCTGTGTATGGTGGACCTTGTTATACACTGTTTCTGTGTATGGTGGGCCTTGTTATACACTGTTTCTGTGTATGGTGGGCCTTGTTATACACTGTTTCTGTCTATGGTGGGCCTTGTTATACACTGTTTCTGTGTATGGTGGGCCTTGTTATACACTGTTTCTGTCTGTGGTGGGCCTTGTTATACACTGTTTCTGTGTATGGTGGGCCTTGTTATACACTGTTTCTGTGTATGGTGGGCCTTGTTATACACTGTTTCTGTGTATGGTGGGCCTTGTTATACACTGTTTCTGTGTATGGTGGGCCTTGTTATACACTGTTTCTGTGTATGGTGGACCTTGTTATACACTGTTTCTGTGTATGGTGGGCCTTTTTATACACTGTTTCTGTGTATGGTGGGCCTTGTTATACACTGTTTCTGTGTATGGTGGGCCTTGTTATACACTGTTTCTGTGTATGGTGGACCTTGTTATACACTGTTTCTGTGTATGGTGGGCCTTGTTATACACTGTTTCTGTGTATGGTGGGCCTTGTTATACACTGTTTCTGTGTATGGTAGGCCTTGTTATACTCTGTTTCTGACTATGCTGGGCCATGTGTTATGACCAGGGTGCATTAAAGATACTATTATTGTGGAAGTTTGCCAGACAAGGGAAGACAATAAATATACCAACGACTGTGACCAAGGGGATATGGTCTACTGACTCCATATACCTGGGACAGGTAAATTGTATAATACATGTACGTGACCTGTAACATATAGGTATATAAAGGATGTTCACCGAGCCGGAAGGAATCCCTGTGTGCAAAGATTTATCAGGAAATGTGTTCTGATTGATTGGCAAATTAAACTTATTAGATACGGAGGATTGTACAGTACTATAGAGTGTTAAAGTGATGCATTCATGGGAGAAATGGTTGATACATGGATATTTTGTGTGAACAGGTAAGTCCTAGGCATGGCTGGTGAACCAGGCCACTGTCTGTGTTTACATTGTGTGGAAGGACAGACAGGATTCTCATGTTGTCATTCACATGTGCCGAGGTGAAAAAGTCTTGACAAACATTCGCACAACATTTCCAAACAGTACATTACTGGATATAGATAGAAAAATTGCTGGTGAAGTTTGCAAAAATGAGGCATCATACCTACCTGTAAATTAATATCACAGATAATAGAGAAGATATTAAAAAGATTTGTTAAATTTTGCTGGGTGAAATTGACTGAATTTGAATGAATGATGACATCAGTAAATTGAATGGTATAACAATATGCTTATTTCATGAAGTATGAAAATATAATTCTCTTTGTAATTGTATTGAAGATAACATTAAGTATCAGTGATCGGCTTAGTGACCTTGACTTGAAATTGTAGGAACAGCTGTTAGTCACTTATTCTGGTCACTGTGTCCTGATTGGCTAGAGCAAATATCAGTGGTTGATAGTCAAATTATTTTCCTGTCCACAACCATGACCTTATTCCATCGTTCTGTCATTCTACATGATTTTGTTTCAGCTGATTAACTCCAGATAATTTTTTATGTAGCTGTGTAATAGTAATAAGCTGGTGACATTTTTATTATGTTACTGTATGTTTATTTTCCTGGGGGTTATGGCCATTTAACTTCAAGAATTCTAAATGAAATTTTCTCAAAAACCATGACAAGTTTGAGAGCCTTGCCTAACTCTAGTTGGAATTTAAAAAAAAAATCACAGAAAAAAAGTTAAAAGCTGCATTGGTTGTTGACAGGGGCAATCTGACACATCTAATTGATCATCCATTTAGATCACTTTTTACAATGAACGGTCTATTTAATGGCTATTTATATTCCAATTGGCACTTTTGATGTTGCAGAAGATGTACATAATGTTCGTCACAAATGCTCCATACAAAAAAATACTTTATCTAAACTTGTTTGGTATGTAAGAATCTGGCAGATATAACAACAGACCATTCCATACTAATACAGTGATACAGAAGTTCGCAAATTTGGGAAAAAGCAATTTATAGACTTTGATATCATCATTGTTAAACGTCTGAAAATTTCCGATACCTTTCCCTGCTTGCTCGTTGAATATATCTTTATGTCACTTATGATAAGACATGTTTTAGTGTATGAGGTCTGTTGATATTCTTATATGGTGAAATGTAAATGAATTTAGAGATCTTTTTAGATTTGTTGTGAAAATCAAAGCAATTTTGAAAGACTTGAAAAGAAAATGATCAAAACAAAGTAATTGAGTATGTACACAATGATTATACCTGATATTCATTAAGAAAATTGTCTTAATGACAGATAAAATGTTATGATACACATTAGCACTAAGTTGTCCAGGATACCACACAGGAATTTGTTTCCTACAAGACTATATGTATAACATCATGAATTGAACATTCAACCATTCATTCTTTACTGCTATGATCTGTCTGCTGTTGTTTATACTCCAAGGAGGAGTGATGTTTCTGAAGTCTGTAGAGTTAAGGAATATTAAAAATATTGATGTGAAGTTGAAAATTCAACAGATTTTACGATTACACAAAAGAGAAAATTCAAGTTCGATGAAGAATGATGATACACAGGTACAGGAAATATTTATTCATTTATTTATTTTCATTGATTTTCTTTATTTTTCTTAATTATTTGATAAATTTTGTAATGGATATTTATTAGAGTTAAAAACCAGATACCTGTAAGAATTACACAATATATTTTATCCAAAAAGAATTACGAATAATCTTCATATTAAACAATGACATGCTACAATTGAAATGAATTGTTTTGATGATATGTACACCTATAAATATCTGTCCTGATTGTATTTAAAATTTGATAAGTATTTTTAACGTGCCTCTCAGTCTAGCTCTGTTGAATACTTTAGTATAGGTATGTAACTCTTTGCTAAATCCAACAGCTGTGTCCTTGTTTGGTAATTTTCTTAAGCATTTACTTCATGAGAATATATTTCTTTTCTTCTAAAATTGTCACCATGTCCAAACTTTAGGTCAGAGGTCTGGTGATAAGCATATGTCGGTAACACCAGGTGAGAGAGAGGGTTAAGGTAGTTAAAAATGCACAGATATGCATCGCCTAAACATAAAAAAGTTATAAAAATGCTTAACATTGTACAGATAAATATTTACATAAGATATATTAGCATACAGGTGTTGAAACACAGGAAATGAAAACATACTACCAGTGAAAAACTTATTTGGCTTTCATGTAGCCCAGGTATTTAGGTGTAGGTCCACTCCTGAAAAGGAAATGACACTGGTAAGATAAAAGCACCTAAACAAGGCAACATTTCTGGAGAACTGGGAGAAAAAATAAATTGTAGGTAGCTAGTAGAGTGACATTGGTAAGTCTACTTCAGACATAGCTGACAGGTGAGATCATTGTGTATATCTGGTTAGCTCTGTGTCCTGATAAAGTAGATCCCGGTAATGTAGGTTCTGTCACGTAACTATCACCTCTACACAGTCCTGTCAGAACAAAAATGGTGATTTTAGACGCACAAAGGATAGTAATATAGTTACAGACATGGAGAATAGTTACATTGACAGGAACACCACATGGACTTAGTACAGGTACTACTAGATGTGTGAGATGTATATTGTGTTAAAACTAATTTAAGTGTGTACATCTAAAACTGTACAGTCTGTTAACGCTTCCTATCTTCAATTTATTCTGAATGAAATACTGCAAAGTTGGTAATATTCACAGGGTATTTAATTTTGCTATATTCATGGTCATCAAAAAAAAAGTGCGAAAATTAAATACCTAGTAAACGTAGAAGAGAGAACCATAATGTATGTATATGGAAATCTGTGTTATGTGTCTGTATACATGGATGACTGTATCAGGACATACATGAAGATTGATTCCCACGAACTAGCACAAACTGGGTCTACTGAGAAATATTAGCCCCCTCAGAGTTAAACTATTATACAGTACTGAGATCATAATAGATTTTTAGTTCAGAGAAAAGTTTTCCAAGATGGATTCCACAGCTGCCATTTTCAACATATTTCACAAACTTAAAACTCCTTTTCCAAAGTGCTGGTTTACAGAGATGATATACTGATAGTAATTCTGGACAAAGTAGATGCTTTTCTCTGAATACATTGACAAAAATGATCGGGCTTCAATGGTTACCTTGTGCAAACCTGATTAAACCCAAAGTTTGGTTCTGTTTTACTGATTGTGCACAACTTAAGGACCTGACATTGTGCGTAATAAGGGGACAGTATGCTTGGTTTTTTATGCATATACTGGAGATTAGATCATGAACTTTAGTTTTGTGTCTTCTGTTTAAACAGGGACGTATAATACAGTATTATACGTCCCTGGTTAAAATGACAAAATTCATTATCTAATTGCCAGTATATGCCAAAACACAAGCACACTATTCCCATTTTATTATAATTTGAGTCTAAAAATGTTGAAATCATTGCAATATCAATGAAATTCAACAAAAACCAATACCTACACAGTTTAGTTCACAATGGTCACTCACATTGTCTTAGCCAATCAAAATGTTCCTTTCAACCTTTGATGAGGTAGAAGCTCTGCCCTCTTTTCAGTAAAGATGTTGATTATTTTGGGTCAGGATGTAGGTTGAGGCACATAAAAAGCTTGAAATATTCTGTGCAAGAATTATCTGTCTAAATTGTTGTTTATATTGATTCCTGGTGTTCATACCTAAGTTTGTCATTTCTATCTCTGAAAGGTAAAGGTATTTATTTACTAAAGATGGTCAATAAAACAACGGCCATCAGGAAGAAGCATTGACAAGAGATCATGACAAGAAGCTCATCGAAATGGGTTTTTTTTCAAAATGGATATTGGGATTTATATATTGTTCTCTTTAGAATTATCCAGTAAAACTAGGAGACAATATCATGTGATATGATTTCATTTTTGTCGTGATATTGTTAGGTAAGAAATTGATCCCTGAATTGAGAATGTCGCCTATTTTAACAGTTACCGTCTTTATCAACATTTTGTCATTATGTCTACCTTCAAACTCACTGGAAGCAGACAAGTTTATCATTATGGTACTTTCCCTTCATATTTCGATGACACGTGTTAGCATGTCGTTATAATAAATTTCTCCATGTCAATGTCGATCATCTGCCTCAACTGGAAACATGGTCGCCATCTTTGGGCTGGCATCAGAAATCATGAGTATATCAGGGATCAGATAATGAAAACCGTCCAATTAGAAATATGTTACATAACCATTATTTTAGAATGGTTGTTTTATACCCTTGCTTGTGATTCAGGATTAGGTTCACTTTGCATCTAAAAACAAAACATATTTACAGTATTGTTAAGGTGACCATTGAGTGCATGTTTCAGGTTTATCCTACCATAATAGGCTTTTTTATCTATGTTTACTTAAGAACTTACCTGCTGACGACAGAATATTTCCAGGGATCTCTTGATTTCTGTCAAAAGATTCATATTTTGTGTACACTGACTTCTAACAACTTTAAAGTTGAGTCACATCTTATATTGAGCTGTCAAAATTTATTTCATTGGTAGAAATGTTTTATTGTTAACAGACAAAATGCAGGTTTTATTTCTGTCTTGAAACATCTAAAAACTGAATTGATATAAAGGTTGGTTTCATCTGACTCTCAACTTGTTTGTTTTGCAATTATGATTATGCTTAAGTCTGTGTTTCTGTTATCTGAAACCTCTATCTTGGTATGTTAATTTGCATCCAAGTCTATTATTCAGATATAGAGGTCAAATTTTGAAGGTGAAATTGCTCTCGGAATGCCATTTTAAACTGGGATGTTGTGGGTGAGTTAGTGTTTGTAGTAGTTTTGTCTTTATATATGAACAGTCTCAGGATTTAAGGCAATGTTTCTGACTTACAGAGACTAACTGTACATGATGTACTAACATTCAGCTTTAGGATAAACTTTTGTGATATACCGAGGTCCAATTTCTCCAGCCACTTACTTCAGTGGTTGGTTTTGTCAAGTACAGCATGGTGAGTGGTCCATCTTCATGTCAACAGTACACTTTCCAAATTTTTGTATTTTTGTGTACTTCACTTCTTTTTCCAGTTTGAGGACTGTCCAGAAAGAGTCTCATTATTTACACATTGAAGTTTATCTGTTTTTTTCATCATACATTTTCCTGTAAAAGCAAAGATTGTGTGCTACATTATACAGATCAAGTGTGCTTGTACAGAAGAAGACAGTATTTCTGATTAAACAGCAAACATTGTGTACTACATTATACAGATACATTGTAATTGCATAAAAGAAGGCAGTATTTCAGATGTGTACTTCTTGAATCACAGGAAATGGATGACATGCTTGTGGTTTCGGACTAGTATTAAAGTGTAGATTGGTGTAGAAACTAGATCTTGAGATAGCTGGGTAAACATTTAAGGATAAAAACCAAAATAAGGATAAGTGATATTAGTGTTTTACTTGTTAATTTCATGTCAAGTTGTAAGATGTAAAAGTAACCCTAATCAGCTTTCTTCTCTTTTTAAGATGAAGATAAAAAAAAAACCAAATTATTGTGGGAAAAATATTTGTTTTGATTTTCTAGATGAATGAAAGTGGATATTGTCCATACTGGAATTTTATACAGATATAGACAGTAAGGAGGGTCTGCTTGTAAAATAGAAAGATAATTCTGTCTGGGTGATAATTGCTTAAAATTTGGTTTTCAAAATCAGAGTTGTGTAAAAGAATTAAAGGTATTTTGATTTCAAATAAATTCACAAATTACTTGTAAATTTTGTAGATAAAACTTACTGCCCTCAAAACCTGTTTCTTCACCACCGAGTTTCAAACCAAGGCTAAGGCCTTAAATACACCTTCCATAGGATGTTATATCTTGATTGTTGAAACCTTGATCCTGTCTGTAGTTGATGTATCTCCTTTCTGTACAGATTTCCAAACTCTAGTGTACCAACTGGCATTAATATCTTTATTTTTTTATGTACCTATATACCAATAAGAAAATGTATTTGTACTTTTTTTTTATACAGGAAATACCCAGAAACACTGTCAGCATTTAATTTGCTGTACATAGAAATGACCTAAAGGTGTTTCTGTGAAATCTCTTATGTCCTGATATCAGTGTAGGTTACTCTAAGTAATGATTGTTCTGAACTACACATTTCTTGTGTATTTCAGGAAGCACTTCACAGGGAAAAGATGCTGGAACAGAAACTGACAAACCTACAGCAGCTCCTGGAGAACACACAGGAGGCTTCGGAAACAGGATGGCAGGTGAGTCAAACTGCCATTTGGTCTTTAGGTCATACTGGATGGCTGGCAATTTGGATCATCTTCTGGTCCATAAGTTGTACTGGATGATTAGTGATATGGACTTTTACATTTTCCATAGGTCATACTGGATTGTCCTTTGGTTAACTGGATTGTCCATAAGTCATAGGATGATTGGTGAGCTGGGCTGTCACCCAGTCCATAAGTCCTACTGGATGGCAAGTGAGTCAGATTGTCACTTTGTCGGTAGGTCAGACTCAATGCCATGTGAGTTGGACAATCTTCTGGTCCATAGAGCTATAGGTTTGCAGATAAATCAGACTGTCACCTGGTCAGACTGTCACCTGGTCCATAGGTCTTACTGGATGATAGGTGAGTCAAACTGTCACCTGGTCCATAGGTCTTACTGGATGACAGGTAAGTCAGACTGTCACCTGGTCAGTAGGTCTTACTGGACGACGGGTAAGTTAGACTGTCACCTGGTCCAAAAGTCTTACTGGATGACAGGTGAGTCAGACTGTCACCTGGTCTATAGGTCTTTCTGGATGACAGGCAAGTCAGACTGTCTCCTGGTCTATAGGTCTTTCTGGATGACAGGCAAGTCAGACTGTCACCTGGTCCGTAGGTCTTACTGGATGACAGGTGAGTCAGACTGTCACCTGGTCTATAGGTCTTTCTGGATGACAGGCAAGTCAGACTGTCGCCTGGTCTATAGGTCTTTCTGGATGACAGGCAAGTCAGACTGTCGCCTGGTCTATAGGTCTTACTGGATGACAGGCAAGTCAGACTGTCACCTGGTCCGTAGGTCTTACTGGATGACAGGTAGGTCAGACTGTCACCTGGTCCGTAGGTCTTACCGGATGACAGGTAAGTCAGACTGTCACCTGGTCCATAAGTCTTACGGGATGACAGGTAAGTCAGACTGTCACCTGGTCCATAAGTCTTACTGGATGACAGGTAAGACATACTTTAGTGCTACACATGATTGTGAATTATTACAACATGGTTACACCTTTGATATTTTGTTTTCAGGCTCTAATCACAGAAGACCGACTTTTATCTCGACTTGATGTATTGGAAAACCAACTTCACACCTACTCCAAGGTAAATACAGACTTGTGTAGGGTAGAACTTGTGTCTTTATATGTGAGTTTTCTATCAAGCAACTAGGATCACAAAATTAGAATGAAAGATATATGTGACTAATACATTAAGCCTCCAATAAGGCAAGAAAGGCAATGTAGAAATTCTGCAGGGATAGTCTTATTACAGGAAAATAACCCACATTTGTTTTTAATCCAATGTAGACAAGTCAGTTTCATTACACAAGTTACCAATAAATTGTGTACACACAAGTGAAAGGTGTACAGTAGTGAAGTTTAGTAACATACACCTATATCACAGATGAAACATAAAACTTGCTGTGATCTGTGATGTATCTGAAAGATTTTTCATTTTGAAATTTCAAGGAATTATCAAAATTTGGAAAAATTTGAGAAATGAGGACTTGATCTGATGGTGGTCCTAATACTTATAATTTCATTGTTGGTCTGGTTTCAGAATCATGCTGAAGATTCTCTACGACAAGAAGTGGTTACCTTACAGGAAGAAAAACTCACATATGAAACCATGGCAAAGGTAAGACTAGAATGCATTGTCCAGTTATAGGCTGCTCAATATAGAGAAAGTTGTTATGAAAATATTACCATTGTATAGCTATGTAACTACTATAAAGATATAGTCTCATAAATCACTGAATGTAGAGCTGTCGCTCCCGGGGAAAAGGGGTAACTTTGGAATACTATAAGGATAGGATATAAATTGTTGAATAAATATTTAATATATGATATTGTAGTTGTTCCTTTCTGGTAATTTCAGGAATCGCTTCGAAAAGTTTTACAAGAAAAATTAGAGGCTGTGAGAAAATTATCAGATCTTGAGGTAAGTGAAATAATGTAACAAGTCTCTAATTAGGCAACTGAATATAAGTACAGGTTCCCTATAGTAATCATGCTGTCCGTCCGTCTCCTTGTCTGTCTGTCCATCTGTCTGTCTGTCTGTCAGCACGTCTCCCTGTCTGTCTGTCCATCTGTCTGTCTGTCTGTCAGCACGTCTCCCTGTCTGTCTGTCAGCACTTTTGTTTGTGTGAAATAAGTTGAGTTTCCTTGGGCCAATCAAGCTCAAACTTCATACAGTGCTTCCTAATTAAAAGTGCTTGCATAGGAACGCTTTTCGTCATCAGAGGTAAAAGATCAAGGTCACTGTTTCTATAAATAGAAAATCAGTTTTCATGTAGGAACTGGAGTTTGCTTTGGCCATTCTAACCCAAACTTTATTCAGTAATTCTTTACTGAAAGTGGGGATTTCAAGCCACATCACTGGACTCTTGCTGACCTGTCAGTGTTCCAGTTATGATTAGAAACCTGCAGAAATTTGAAGTTAACAAAAGTTTCTGTGATGTCTGTGTTTTAACTACATTATGCTGTTGTCATGGAAACTGTAATATGGCTTTAAAATTTGTTTTATTGATTTGATCTTGTATTTGTACTTTGTGTAACCTTGACATTGTAGCTGATCGTAAACAAAGAAGAATGCGTACATCTGAATGACATGTAATCTTGACCTTGTTTGATACACTGTTTGACTGTGACATTGTAGCTGTCAATGGTGAACACAGAAGAATGTCTAAATTTAAATAGTAACCTTAACCTTGTTCATGTACTATATGACCTTGACATTGTAAGGGTTCATGGTGAACACAGAAGAATGTCTAAATTTAGATAGTAACCTTAACCTTGTTCATGTACTATATGACCTTGACATTGTAAGAGTTCATGGTGAACACAGAAGAATGTCTAAATTTAAATAGTAACCTTAACCTTGTTCATGTACTATATGACCTTGACATTGTAAGAGTTCATGGTGAAGACAGAAGAATGTCTAAATTTAAATAGTAACCTTAACCTTGTTCATGTACTATATGACCTTGACATTGTAGCTGTTTATGGTGAACACAGAAGAATGTATACATTTAAATAGTAACCTTAACCTTGTTCATGTACTATGTGACCTTAACATTGTAGCGGTCGATGGTGAACACAGAAGAAGAATGTGCTCACCTAAAGGATATGTGCGAAAAATCTCAGGAGGAGTTGCAGCAACTTGCTGAGAAATACCAAGACCAGCTCAAGGAGGTTAAGGAACTCCAGGACAAATTGTCTGTGAGTAGCAAGTTACAGTGTATCAGTTTGGTGTTTGTACTGTTGGTATCTGTAGAAGGATGGAGTCAACATTTCTTTTGTAATGATTAAACTTAGAATAGAAAACAGTTTCTGTAATGAGAGATGCATGTGTGATAGATAGATTTGATGCATGTGTGGGAGGTGAGAGACACAGGTGTGATAGGTATGAGACACATGTGTGAAAGGTGAGAGATGCATGTGTGGGAGGTGAGAAACATGTGTGAGAGGTGAGAGACATTTGTGTGATAGGTGAGAGACACGTGTGTGATAGGTGAGAGACATATGTGTGATAGGTGAGAGACGTGTGTGATAGGTGAGAGACACGTGTGTGAAAGGTGAGAGACACATGTGTGATAGGTATGAGACATGTGTGATAGGTGAGAGACACATGTGATAGGTGAGAGACGCATGTGTGATAGGTGAGAGATGCATGTGTGATAGGTGAGAGATGCATGTGTGAAAGGTGAGAGATGCATGTGTGATGGGTGAGAGACACATGTGTGATAGGTGAGACACGTGTGTGATAGGTGAGACATGTGTGTGATAAGTGAGACACGTGTGTGATAGTGAGAGATGCATGTGTGATAAGGTGAGACAGGTGTGATAAGTGACAGATGCATGTGTGATAGGAAAAAAAACCTTGCTTTTAATTGTTGAAATATAAGATTGGTAGAAAAATGTACTTTCTTATCCAGTAGTTTACCTGTAGAACTCTGATACAAACATCTGATTATCTATACCCAACATCGATACATGGAACTTGTTTGATGGGGAAATTATTCCTTTTGTAGGAAGCAGAGCGAAACTTGGTGGAAGAAACGGAAAAAGCTGAAAAAGAGAAAATCTGTCTCCAAGATAAACTAGACGAGATGGTTAAAGAGGAGGATCTGCTCTCAGCCAAGGTATGTTATTGTCTTACCTGTAGAGGTCACTATTACTCCTTCACAGACCTGTTAATGACCTGCAGAGGTCACTATCACTCCTTCACAGACCTGTTAATGACCTATAGAGGTCAGGATTACTCCTTCAGAGGTCATGACCAGTTAATGATCTGTAGAGGTCAGAATTACTCCTTCAGAGGTCGTGACCTGTCAATGACCTGAAGAGAACAGGATTACTACTTCAGGGGTCATGAACTGTTATAACCTGTAGAGGTCAGGATTACTCTTTCAGAGGTCATGACCTGTTATGGACATTACTGTAGGGGTGATATGTCAAATGTTTTGGGTTAGATCACCTTCTATGAGTACAATAATGCAGTATTTACATTTACAAATACAAGTTAATATGAATAAAGATTCATTTGAAATTGTCTTAATTATTAGTTTTGTTATTAAAGGATGTTAAAGATTTCTAAATTCAATAAGTTAAGACAAATCTACAGTGTAGTTGAAAAATTACATCCTTCAAACTTTGATTCTTATATGACATTAGTGGTTTTAGAATCCTTCCACGTCGTCGTATACTTAACCAGATTTTTTTACCTCACAGTTGGAATCTCTACAAGCTGACAACGACATCACCATGAACCAGTTAGCGGCAATGAAAGGTATGACCCTAGTATAATGATGTAGATGATCTAGTGAGTGTAAGCTCGCCTGTTTTTACATGTCTGTTATATTTTAAACAGATCATATGGGTTGAATTTCCTGAAACAAGATATAATATTCATTCAGAGACATTGCTTCAGAAGAAATAGCAAATATCTTGTATGTTATAAGGATCAAAATTTGATTTTCTGTGTTCAATTTTGGCAGAGTAAAACAAAATAAATTTTTTTTAAAAATTAAAAAAGTATGGATAAGAATTAAATCTTTGTTAGCTCAGAAATTAAGATCATTTGGACATGTTTATGTGAAGCATAGATATAGACGGAGCATTTGGACATCCTTATCAAGGTATTACAGGGTATCGATCAGATTTGGGGCTAGATAATGGTTTTGTTTTATCAGGGCTAAAGTATAGTAAAAAAATCTTCAAGAAGCTACAATACCCTTACAGACTTACCTTGTAGTCATTGTTAGGGATTACAGTCAATTTCAGGGACCTAATGGCTGGATACTTCAGACTAGTCAGCTTGTTCTTATATCATTTTAAAATTCTTTCCATTATCAGCTAAGCTTGAAGCCCTGAAGGAGGAACCGTCTGATAGTAACAAGGAAGCAGATGAAAAGACTGATGAGGATGAGGAGGAGAAGACAGAAGATGATAATAAGTTGGTGGACTCAAATACAATAGGTATAATTTCAATTACATTGACAATTAATGATGTCAAGAAACTACAGGAATCAGGAAATTTCTTGAGATCTCAAATAAATAATTTCATTTTAGATTCATTTAAGATTTTCTTATTTCTTATAAAGTGAATCTATGTCATTGAGTCTAAAGAATTAAGGAAACAAAAGTGCTGATGATATGTCCTCTATGTCCAGAGCTTTTTATTGGAATCTTCATTGCAAATTCCCAAAGGATATTATGTATTGATAATGCATAATCCTTAAAAGTTGTTTCCCAATCAGTCTGATTTCTTTCTTGATATTTGTTAATAGTGAAATTTGTCACTCAAGTGTAGAACATAATTTGTGTTAAATCTTAAAGTGACCGGCTGGCTTATCAGACAGATAGTTTAATTGCGGTCACCTTAGTGTCAGAATCATGCCGTGAGACATTGGCTGGACATGCTATCCACAGTGAGACATTAACTGTGTCAGCTCGATACTCAGGCCATACATGTTATCATTGTTGTAACTTGTGTTAATACTCAACATTTGTACTTGAGAACGGTTGTTGCTGGTCTTTTGTATGACATAAGGATAGTACAACATAGAGGTGTAACATATTCTGGTGGCAGCGGATATTAAATACAAAAGACCCTCATCTTGATGAGTGAGGTCCTGACGGATGTATGCTTTAGAAAATCACAAATTAAATCAATTTTTCTTGGAAGCTGATTAATTTGAATTTTCAGAAAAACAAATAACTTTTGATATAAGATAAATACACATGATATATAAAAGGTAGGTAAAATTTACCTGATGATATTTTGACTTAAAATTTGATCTTTCTATCACAGATGAACAACCACAGATAATTCCCATCCCGCCATCCCTTAAAGTGATCAGAACAGACGATATCGAAGGTTGGTTCCTCCCCTGTATGTTTGTACTATCAGGATTGTAGTGTGTTTTTAGGCCTATCAATAAGTCGGCATCAATACTCTGACAAACTGCTTCTTTGTTATGCTTCAGTTTTCAATAAAATTACTGGTTACCAGTAGGCTTTTCAATGTGATAAGAGAAAAAAAATATAGAAAAGTGCAAAATGGAGACAATTGCTGGAAACAGATCAGAATGAACTGATTAAGGACAAAACTGTACACAAATAAGACAGAATACTATGTAATGAAAATGGACAAAATTTAATAGGATATTACTTTGTGGTTTAATTAGGGCCCCGCATCGCGATGCGGGTGCCCTATAGTAATCACCTTGTCTGTCTGTCCGTCTGTCTGTCCGTCTGTCTGTCTGTCTGTTTCGCTTTCCGCACGATATCTTGAGAAGGAATGATGAGATTTCGATGAAACTTGCTTATGATACTTGGTACATAAGTCCCTCGCTCAAGTTCGATGTTCGCCAAATTCCGCGCATATTTAATGAGGCTGCTGCAATCTGATTGGCTGAATGTTTTACGTGTCTGTCGGTTTCACTTTCCGCGCGATATCTTGAGAAGGAATGATGGGATTTCGATGAAACATGCTTATGATACTTGGTACATAAGTCCCTCGCTCAAGTTCGATGTTTTTTGTTTTCAATTCTTGCCATGAAATTCATACCATTTTCAATTATTTACATACTGCTATTACCATTTTTCAATATTTCTTAATATTAAGAAACTCAATCATAAGGGGTAGGTATTATGCGGGGCCCTTCCTCGACATTGGTCTAGTTAAATATCACATATGTAGCTGCATGGTTAATGATTTTGTAATTTTTGTTCCAGGCAAACTAAAGGAAACACAACAACAGATAGAAAAATACAAAGGTTTGCTTCTAGCCAATTCTTATATAGAAATAACTATTACAAACAAAAGGTAGATACCAATTCAAAATTCAAAAATTGAAATCGTATAGTCGTATTCAATTTCATAGTTTCCTTCATTTGTTATTTGTAAAAATTGCAAATTTGTGTAAACTTTTGGTCGATTTACCTAAAATCCAAGATTTTGGTTTTGCAAATGAATCTTCTCTATTTCGAAGTTTTACTTACCGGTATAACAAGCAGTTGTGGTTATCATATTGTTATGTACGCGTGAATTCATTTTCCACTGTTACACTGACTACTGTTTTTATTCCTGTGTAAACAGCTCAGCTTGAGGAGTCTGATGCCAAACTGAAGGCTAGCAGTGATGTGGTCACCAAGTTACAGAGTAAGTATATGTAGATTTGGTCACACCCACATGTGTTTTTATCGTTTTACATGGACACGTTTTTGTCCTGAAACCTTTACATGTTTTCTTGTTGATGTTTTCCAATAGATTCAAAATTGTTTTGAAAATTAAAACTGTTTATAAATATTGATGAATTTTGCCACAGACCATTGGTGATCATTCTGTATCAGTATAGAAACAGTCTATGTTCATACCAAGATGAACTGCGGTCATGATTGATGTCTGTTCTATATCAGTATATAAAAAGTCTATGTTCATACCAAGATGAACTGCGGTCATGATTGATGTCCGTTCTATATCAGTATATAAAAAGTCTATGTTCATACCAAGATGACCAGCAGTCATGGTTGGTGACCGTTCTCTATTGGTATTGAGTGGTGGTCATTTTGTCCTTTTTGTCGTTGATTAATTGTATGGAAGGTCAACAGTATGATTTGCTTTGTTGATGATTGGTTTTGTCAACAGCTGACCTGAAATGAACAATATAAGATACGTGCTGTAAATGATAAGATGTCAAAAAGATGACCAGTGCTATTTGTCCTTTCAGAGGAATTAGAAGTGGCAGAGGCAGAGTCCCATCAATATGAATCCAAGATGTCTGCCCTAGAAGGTCAGTATACCATGTTGTCTGTCTAGTAACCTCCATATGTCGGATCCTGTACATGTTGTACTGAAAGACACTTAGGAATATGTTAAGATATATTTGTCTCAATGGGAGACTTCAGATGGTTTTTTTCATTGCAGTATGGGTTTGTCCACTGCAACTTTTTGAAGTGAAAATTTAGCTAAGTGTCTCCAATAGAGCTAGAGAAGACAGATGTATGTACTATTTAGTTGTATCATAGGTTACATCACAAATCGAAACAAATTTGTCAATTTGAAACATTTCAATCCTGTCTTTAGGGTTAGGGTTAATTGAACAAAGACAAGTGACCTCATTGCTTATTTCCTATCCAAAGGAGCTGTTTTGAGTAGCAACCAATAAGCTTTGTAATTTTTGATACTACAGTCTTCTAGAAGCTGACAGCCAGGGTCCTAAAGGGACAAAGTTTATCTATATACTGAAAAATCCTACCCCAAGATAACATAAAATCAGTTTCAGTAATGAGAAGGTCCTAAAGTGCTTTACCACTATTTCATCTTGGGAAGGGGTGAAATATCGGAAAGTAGTTCTTTTAAAAATGAAGAGATAGGCATGGCTAGGATGATTCTTCAACGATGTACAGTTTGTAATTTCATCAATCTTCATATCTCACATTCCCCTCTTGGGAGAAGTAAAGGTCTGTTACAGTTCACAAAGGAATGTTACTCAAATTCTCTACAAATATCTGACTAACAATGAACTTTAACTTATTGTAAGATTTTGGCTTATTCACTCAGAATTTCTCTCTTAACCTTCATATTTTTTGGAAATTTGTCATTTTACCAAGTTGGATTTTGTAGATTTCTTATTTTCCTAAAGTTTTTCTCTGTCATCTTGAGTTAAGGCGTCTTTGCAATGTTAAGAAATTACACTATTAACAGTTGTGGAAATCCCTTGTATACAGTAACACAATGAAAGCACGCATTCATTCCTTTAACTTAGCTGAGTGTTTCTGTTGTTTATAGTTTTTGCATGTGTAAACATTAAATTTGAATATGTACTTAATTGAAAATGCAGAGTGCTCAAACTGAATTCAATTTTGAAAATGGAGTCAGTATTTTGAAAATTCTGATTTTTGGGGCATTTATCTATTATTTTTTTTTTTGTTTATTTTGTCTCCAGATTGTAATTTTTAAGCTGCATGTTTTCTTTTTCTTGAATTATCTGAACAAAAAATTATTAATTACTGCCTACAGATAAAACTATATCACTTCATAAACATGAAGGGGCGTGGTACCTTTTATGATTTTCATGCCTCATTCAATGACCTTCCTGTGATCATGTTAAAAACATTTTTGCCAAATATCTCTTTGTTTACATTTCACCAGGATATTTTGAAATGTCAACAAAGAAAATAGGAAATATTGCTCAGGGGCCCGGGGTTACTTCCCTTGCATGTTGTGTCCAATCATTTTTGGTGTCCACCGCTTTTATTTAAAACATTTTTGTGCACCTGCCGCTGTTTTTGAAGTCTTTTATTTGTTTCTATTGTATTACCATCATATTCGCAGAAAAGCTTAGGCTGTCCGATTTACATATGAATCAGATGATGGAAAACACGATGGCCGATTTAGAACGTAAGTGTGTAATCATTATCTATTTTTGTTGCTATGTTCGCTTTCATAATTTTGCTTCTACATATAACCGTATCATTTATTATCCCCTACATCAGATCAAATGGTGTTGTGATTTTTTTTTTTTTAACTTTTTTTTTTTTTAAACTTTTGTCCATTTTTGTCTTAATCCTCTTTGTCACATTGAATTAATGTGGTCCTGTTATAAACATTTAAGCAAGCTTAAAGATGATATTGTTAGTAAGGAACCTTTAGACTGGTTGGTATAACAACATAAGATGTTTCCAGAGGAAAAAAGTCTGTAATATCATGATTTATTGAGTTAAATAATGAAACTGGACACTCGGTATAAATTACATCGTAGTGTATAGGTTTCCACTCGACAACCTAAAATACTTAAAATTTGAAAAAGTATAAACAGTATATGACAGTAGACTACTACAAGCATTGTCTATGGGTTGTGTGCTGAATGGTGTGATTATAACACTTGCATTTGGAAAAATCATAAAAAGTCATCATCTTCACATACACTAGTGGCCAGTATCATCGTAACACATGCATAGAAATGGGAAGTGTTTTCTGAAATGTGTGTGCATTGATGATGTTGGATATGATGACTTTGTATTTCAACAGGACCATCACGAAGGTTACACTATGATTGTTGTTGTTTGTCCATGCATCTCAGTTTGTTTTGTTTTTTTCTTCAGTTCAACTGAAAGAATCTCACAGACAATCAGATGGGAGTAACGAGCTTATCAAAGGCCTGCAAGGTAGGTATAGTGATAAGGTTAGGGTTGTGGGTTTGTAAGTCAAATATAGTGCCGAGGATAGGTTTGTAGGTCTGTAAGTGAGGTATAGTGACATACTTGGTATGTGGCTCTGTAAGTTAGGTATAGTGACAGACTTGGTATGTGTGTCTGTAAGTTAGGTATAGTGACCAGACTTGGTATGTGTGTCTGTAAGTTAGGTATAGTGACAGACTTGGTATGTGTGTCTGTAAGTTAGGTATAGTGACAGACTTGGTATGTGTGTCTGTAAGTTAGGTATAGTGACCAGACTTGGTATGTGTGTCTGTAAGTTAGGTATAGTGACAGACTTGGTATGTGTGTCTGTAAGTTAGGTATAGTGACAGACTTGGTATGTGTGTCTGTAAGTTAGGTATAGTGACCAGACTTGGTATGTGTGTCTGTAAGTTAGGTATAGTGACCAGACTTGGTATGTGTGTCTGTAAGTTAGGTATAGTGACCAGACTTGGTATGTGTGTCTGTAAGTTAGGTATAGTGACCAGACTTGGTATGTGTGTCTGTAAGTTAGGTATAGTGACCAGACTTGGTATGTGTGTCTGTAAGTTAGGTATAGTGACCAGACTTGGTATGTGTGTCTGTAAGTTAGGTATAGTGACCAGACTTGGTATGTGTGTCTGTAAGTTAGGTATAGTGACCAGACTTGGTATGTGTGTCTGTAAGTTAGGTATAGTGACCAGACTTGGTATGTGTGTCTGTAAGTTAGGTATAGTGACCAGACTTGGTATGTGTGTCTGTAAGTTAGGTATAGTGACCAGACTTGGTATGTGTGTCTGTAAGTTAGGTATAGTGACAGACTTGGTATGTATGTCTGTAAGTTAGGTATAGTGACAGACTTGGTATGTATGTCTGTAAGTTAGGTATAGTGACAGACTTGGTATGTGTGTCTGTAAGTTAGGTATAGTGACAGACTTGGTATGTGTGTCTGTAAGTTAGGTATAGTGACAGACTTGGTATGTGTGTCTGTAAGTTAGGTATAGTGACAGACTTGGGTATGTGACAGACTGGTATGTATGTCTGTAAGTTAGGTATAGTGACAGACTTGGTATGTATGTCTGTAAGTTAGGTATAGTGACCAGACTTGGTATGTGTGTCTGTAAGTTAGGTATAGTGACCAGACTTGGTATGTGGGTCTGTAAGTTAGGTATAGTGACAGACTTGGTATGTGTGTCTGTAAGTTAGGTATAGTGACCAAGTTAGGTATAGTGACCAGACTTGGTATGTATGTCTGTAAGTTAGGTATAGTGACAGACTTGGTATGTGTGTCTGTAAGTTAGGTATAGTGACAGACTTGGTATGTGGGTCTGTAAATGAAAAATTACACCAAATAATGAAATTTTGAAGTCAGGATGATGGAGTCAGGTGTACATTTTTGGTTAAATGTTTGATTCATACATGAAACTTTTAACATGTATATTACCTATATATTGGTTTAAAACTCATCATTTTTCAGACAAAGTGAATAATCTGGAGACAGAGATTATTGACTACAAAGTACAGCAGGTCGGACGAGGGGACGTCACTCTCGTTGGAAATGGCAGCCCTGATGAAACATTACACAATCATGTTGATGGAAACCTTGATAATGACCAAAATCTCAATGGTAAGTGCTTTCAAAAATATTACTGAAATATTTTACTATAATTTTTAATTTGCAGAAATAAGAAAGTTTGTGAATCAAAATATTAAATGAGGTTCCAGTAAATTAAGTTTTCTGAAAAAAAAAAATATTGTTATTAAGTGGGAGGGGCATTACCTGTATATTTTATCAAATCTATATATAGATCAGTATGACATATGTTTGTCCTGTCTTAGACTGCCATATGTTTAGATGTAATGATATTAGTATGTAGTAATGTAGATATATCCATGGTCAGCCTAGGTATGAATAGTTCATGAGTTGTCACTTATTGTGGTGTCTATCTACAGAACTTTTACATGAAGCCAGAGATTTACAGAAGAAGGCTGAAGTAGAGCTGAAGAGATATAAATGTAAGTTCTTTACAATATTAAGGGTACATGCTATGTTTCTTTGCTAATGTGTACCTCCTTTGTAGGAGAGTTTCACTGTAAGACAATTGTGTTTGTATGTGGTATCTAGAGTGGTTTAACTGCCTGTGGTACAATGTACCATGAAAGTTGTCAGAAAGCTTAAGTTTAAACACTGCCTTTTTACATTAAAGTGTTCCTCCTTTGCAAGAGATTTCCACCCTGAAAAATTGTAAAAACATGATGAATAATCACACAAAAATTGTAAAAACATTATTATTAGTAATTGCAGAGTTTGTCAGATCAAATTTTGGCACGATGAATTTTTTTATTTACATAAAAAGAAATAGTTATAAAAAAATGTTTATGAAGAAAAAATTGAAACATGGAACTTTGGAAGATCTGTTAAGTGCAGTTGGAAACAAAATATGTTATTATGAAAAGGAATATTGTTTTCAAAAAGTGTAAGGGAGACAACTCTTTATGGAAAAATACTGGCTGTTGTTCAGGTGTTATATTCAATTATCTGAAGGTTTGTAGGAGGGAATTTCTTTGTTCATGAGTCCCTATGGTTTCAGTAACTTTTAAAGAATTCATCGTCAACATTATTTAATGATTTGTCTGTTTCATGTCTTTGAAATAAAAAGATGTTCAATAAGTATAACGGCTATTGTGAGGAAAATGTGTCTTCAGCTTTTCAGAGCTGCCTTTATACTTCTGATCATCACCGATTAGTGGATTATCGTAAAGACTGATTCATAAGCACATTTTGCTTGACAAAATATCTTCAAAATTTTGCAAAACACAGTTTTCGATCAGAGTTTGTGTTAAAGATAAAGATATTTTCAAACAATGTGATACCAGATTGATAAATCTCAACCTGGAGAGGATACATGTGCAATTTACAGAAAGCTATAAACACACACATTAACACTTTCTGATCTGTTGTGTTGTTAGAATGATTTTGTTATTTTTACTCGTATTTTTAAGAGTTTTATTAATTTGGTTTGTTTGAGATATGTTACATCCTAATTTATCAGAATTTATAAATACAGATACATATGAAATAGTTCTACTCCCAGAAGTGACATTTAGGTCACCGTGACCTACATTTTCTGCTTCACTAAGTTAAGTTAGATTTCAGCTTCCTTTGCATTGTTAGACTTTTGTTTAGTGCTGTCATACTAGAAATCCAACATTAGAAAGATTTTATGACACATGTATGGAGTATGTTACCCAGAAATACAAGATATAATTAACTGTAACCTATATTTCTTACTTCACCAACATTGGCGAGATTTCATATATAGTTCCATTTCCAGCCAAATGAGAACTTGTAGAACTGACTATTTATATCATAAAACTGTAAAATCAAATTCCTGGGGCTCATTTTTTGTGGGTTTTTTTTTTTTTTTTTTTTTTTGTGGGTTTTTTTTTTTTTGAGAGATGAAAATTCCTGTTGTGTGGACACTTGATTTCAAGATTAAATGTAGCTCAATATATCTATGTATACAAATGACATAGAAGGTAGAGCATCAACATCTGGATTCTCTGGTTTTCTTATTAGTTTATATTAGGCTAGCCATCATCAGAACATTGGTATAAATATTTACATAGCTTAGGTTCAAATCACGGCTCAACCGTGACATAATTACAATTGTTTACATCATGTGGTAACCGTAACTTAAACATAATAATAAAACCATGGAATCCAGATGTTGATATTAAGTTGTCTCTATTATATATATCTATACTAGTTTTAATAGTTCGTGGACATATGAATTTATGGATTAAGAGTACCCACGAAAATAATGAAAATAAACACCCCACAATAATTAGTGATCTTACAGTATATGTTTTGGATGAACTAAATATCATTTATATGTCTTTTAGCTATTCAGTGCTGTAGTTTTGTATATTTTTTTTTTTCTAAGCTACTGAAAACATACTTTATCTTCAGAAAAGCCAATTTGTATTATAGTGAAAATGTTGAATGAAGAAAGCGATGACGAATTTTCACCAGATTACAAATAAACAACATTCTATAAACCCTATCAAACTACAAACTAAGGAATAAGTGAATTGTTAAACAAGTCAGATACCTTATGTGTGATTTGTTTTGAGATGTCAGTAGGAGGATTGAGCCACAAATGTGATTGTGTTGTTAATATAACTTGGCGAAAAAAAAATAAAATTTGAAAACTTTTAAAAGCACACATGTCATCAGGGTAAATTTGTTTAGTTTTAGAAAAGGTGTAGGCTTCAGCAGTCTTTATCATGTACTACACTATGTGTTTTCTGTATAGATCTGCATACATGTTTATGAATCATTTCTACCTGTAGATTTCACTCTATGGTTTACCTGCACAGGAAAACTCTTTAAAGTATCAGATTTCAGTTGTTGATATTATAGTCAGTTTTTTTTCTGATCAGCTATGAAAGAGTGCTGTTATGAACTTAATTCAGTGTAAAGCTTTGAGAAAAACAATTTCAACATTTTGTGTAAATTTATGTCTCAAAGACGAAAAGTTTTGTTTACATGCTAAGTATATAAATAGGTTTCAGTTGTTGTTTACTATAGGGTCAGTGAAAGGTTTAAATCTGGGAAGTAAACAGTTAGTACAATTCCTGTATAGCTACTCCGTCCACTCACCTGTGTCCAGCCAGGTGAGAAAGTTGTCAGTATCTTACACTGAGTTGTGAGTAGGTAATACTGAGGTACTGTCCCGGTAGGTGTTTTATTTGATTAGTGCCCTAGCTATTGTTAGTCTTCATTCAGAACCACCAAAGTGTATACTTCTGATATGGGCCCTTGAAAATCTATTTTTACCTGTGAATAGCGGCAAAACGTTATACAGATTTGTTTTGCTCTGAGAATTTTGTCATCCTACTTCTAGGTGTAATCCTGCTGAAGTGTTATGAAGATATGTAGTGATATTTAGTAACAGATAACAGATATAATGTTTAACTCCACCCACCCCCTTTTTGGCTGTATTCATACAATCAGTTTCTATTGAAAGAGCAATTTACTTTGTCACTTAAGGGAGAACAGGTGTAATGCTTAGAACTGAAAACACATTAGCTTTACTGGGCTGGTAGAGGTAAAATGTTGTGACGTGGAATCAGGATAAGTTCAGAATTTATTCATACCTATGGGGTGGAAAAGTCAGACTTTTGAGAGATTTTAGCAAAACATAGCTGAGAGGAAATTCAAAATATGGAGGCTTACTTTTAAATGACAGTTTAGTGAGTGCACAAGTCAATCTTCAGAGGTGTATTTGCATCTGAATGGACAATCAGAGTTTTGAGGTGTTTATAAATGACAACAAGTGGAATGAAAGCTGAACACTGGAAATGTTGTAAACTTATGGAGTCGAAGGTCAAACTTCGGAGGTTATTTGATTTTAATAGTGAAGATGAAAAAAAGTCATTTTCATTCTGTTTTCTCGTATAAATTTCATTCCTAAAGCTTGATTTACTACATAAACCATGGAAAGGATATATACGTGATGATATTACAATTAAAATTATGAGGGAAATAGGTGATTTCTGTGACACTATGAAGAGGAAATTGCACTGCCTGAATGATAGTGAGTGTTATCACTGATTAAGTCTGCAGGGAGCTATCAATCAAATAGTTAAGTTCATGTACAGATAATCGTATTGATGTCTCTGTGGCCAGATCTTAATGGCTAGTTGTTTTTTCATTTGTATTTTTTTAACCTGAAGAAGAATCCTTTGAATATAAAATGTAATTTCTAAACTCAGCCAAATTTTTTATCTCTGGCAATTAAAGTGTTTGTGTATTCAGCACTGATGTTGAGATTCAAGCACTTAGAATTTTTCATCAATCAGTGAGGAATTTGTTCGTAGAATTCTGAGAAGTGTTGATAGTGTTACAGTTAGTCAGTATATACAGCATCAAAGTCTGTCTCCTGACTGTATCTGTTCTTGTTCTGAAACCATTTGAATTTGAGCAAAGAAAAGGGTATGAAAATGAAAATTTACAATTTTGTTACAACTGCTAATAATGATATTTCTTTTCATCCTAAGACAAAGTCTGTTGTGTGCATATGGCAGTTATTCATGTATGTCCTTTAAGAAATCACCATGAATGTTTGAAGTATTCGCATAGTTTCGATTTTGGTTACTTTTTAAATATATTTTTCCCGTGTAATACTGCAGAAGTGTAGGAATGAGCATTAGAATATTTCAATTTTGAAAAGAGACAATGAGACATTTTAGATTTACGACTTCAAAAAAACGTAAACACTGCCCCATACATCAAAATTAAAAATTGAATGGATGATTCTCTGCCACCACCCAACTCCACCCATCCCCTTCCCCCAACTCCACCCATCCCCTTCCCCCAACTCCACCCATCCCCTTCCCCCAACTCCACCCATCCCCTTCCCCCCAACTCCACCCATCTCTCCCCCCTATTCCACCCATCCCCTTCCCCCTGCTCCACCCATCCCCTTCCCCCTGCTCCACCCATTCCCTGCCCCAACTCCACCCATCCCCTTCCCCCTACTCCACCCATCTCTACCCGCTATATTTCAAGTAATACAGAAACATTATTTATTTTGCTGAACGACAAAGCTTTGTACAGAGTTATCCCCTAGATTCCTGGGGAGTGACCAGTCATTAAGGCACTAATTGGTTGTTTATGAAAAGCTACTTTGTATGTTTACAACACCAGTGTACCAAATTTATTTACCACAACCATAGGTAATATAAATATTGTGTATAATGTAGTGTGATGTTAGTAGCAGTAAATTATATCTTTGGTGATTTCCATATGTATATCGTATAATTTGTCTCCATTTATTCCTCGCATTTAAATTCTCCATTCATACAATTATTGACAGGGCTGACTAGCCAGTCTCGTCGTTAAGACTGGTGTCGTCTCCCCTGTAGATAAGTGATTTTTTGATCCAGTACAGACAGTGTTATCTCTGATAGTAATTTTCTATTTAAATTTAGATTTTCATTTTAAAGATTTTTGTTCTATTTAGAGACAATGTTATATTTTGAGATGTTTATCATTTAACTAGCCTGTTTTGCCTTGTAAGACGTCGTAATGTCGTCACAAGTTGGTTTTTGGTTTTAGTGAATGGACAGAGTCATAATTTAGGGAAATTTATTCAGTAGTATTTTGCTTATTTACTTATCAGTGCTGGTTATGTGATTAATTAAGATATTTCTAACTTTCATGTTATTTAGAATTGATGAGAGTTGTCAAATAATTAGATATGTCAGGTACCTGAAGGCTCATGGCTAATGGAATCAGAGAACTAGGTTTAATATATTCCGTCGTATCAACACACATCTATGATAACATCTCTTCACATGTATTTCCATTTTTATGAATAAAATGTACACAATGGAGAGATAAATTGGCAACTAATACCTCAGAAAAATTAATCCTGTTTAATAACATTAGTGATAAAAATGTGTTTTGTTGATCAGCTTATCAGTACTTACCTGTCTGATGGCAGAGTCTGCACTAGTACCTGGATATGTGTACTGGTGGCCATAGTGACAAACACCAGCTTCACACTTTCAGCTCACTAAGGTCATCCAATTAAATCAGACAGAAAAATGTTCTTTGGACATAGATATTCATCTGGTTAAGTTTGAATGCCTTGCAAGCTAATACATTAAAATACTGTTGTAAAATGGCATCCTTTAGGAAATATCATCAGATTAAAGCTTTCGATAATTTTTCGTTAAGCTTTCCATACATTCAGATGTGATTATCTTGAGAACTGATACATCACTACGTAGATACAATGATTTCCAAAGAGTGAGGCAAACAAGAAACAACACATTCTGTTTGTCAAGAATCAGTCAGCTTTTACTGTACAGCTAAAATGTCATCATATAAACAGCTAGGTGAACCGGATTCACCCCTGGCTACCGACTTCAAGAAATTCTGTTTCATACATTTTGAAGAAGATGATGGTCCGTGTAAGTTAGAGTTGTTTTGATGAAAACATATTTGTTCAGAGCTGAGCAAATCAAATTGAAAATTCCACTGCTGAGATTAATTTCAGTATTGTGTCAGGATTGCTACTAACTTGGGATTGGTTCCATATGATGATCAACTTGAATGTGAATTTGAAAAAGTATAGTTTTATCACTGACGAGGTGAACTGCTGTTGTGATGAAATTTCAGGTGTGCCGTAGATGTATCAGTGTAGATCTTGATGTTAGGTGTAGAAAAATCAAGCATTTATTTCTTGGTAAACTCAATGTAACAAATTGTCTAGTAGCATATTCATTTTGAAGAACCTGGTCTGATGCAGTGTTGTTTTCTATTTACAGCGGAACTCGACGAGACAAAGATGAGGGCCGACACGCTACAAGGTAATGTTCCAAAACAAATGGAAAAGAAGTCACTTATATGTCAATATTGATAGTTAATCAGAAAAGAAACATTATATTTACCAATCAGAAATGTAATATAGCTGTATCTACCAATCAGATCTGTCAGAAGTATGATATCACTGTATCTACCAATCAGATCTGTTAGAAATATGATATCGCTGTATCTACCAATCAGATCTGTTAGAAATATGATATCGCTGTATCTACCAATCAGATCTGTTAGAAATGTGATATAGCTGTATCTACCAATCAGATCTGTTAGAAATATGATATCGCTGTATCTACCAATCAGATCTGTTAGAAATATGATATCGCTGTATCTACCAATCAGATCTGTCAGAAATATGATATCGCTGTATCTACCAATCAGATCTGTTAGAAATATGATATCGCTGTATCTACCAATCAGATCTGTCAGAAATGTGATATTGCATAGCGTTTGGTGTTTTTGAAGAAATCTGTTTTTTTACTGGTTTAGGTATTTGAATAAGATAAGATCAGATCAAAATCCCATGAAATTAACACAGAAAAACAAAGTCACTTTCATAGCTTTGATAAAAAATATTTGATGCTTCAAATTTTCAGTAAAATCTAACTATTGACCGTCTAACCAAGTTTTGTAGTACATTGTATATTGATGATAATGAGAATCACAGAAAGATAGCTGTTGTTTACTGCTGATTTCAGACCAACTTTCCAAGGCTGAGACCACTACACAGGAAGTGAAAGAACAGATACTGGACCTACGAGGTGAGTAGGAACATATGTCTCCATAAAGTTACAAACACATCCCAGTCTTCAGTGTCTGTCTCTAACTTGGATCTGATATTTGAAGACTGAGTTCAATGTTTAAAAAAGTGCTGAAGTTTTAACAAAGTTTATCAAAGTTTTATCTTTATTAAGTTTTTTCACAGTAGTTTCTTTAAGGTTTGGTATAAAATTACTGATTTATAGAATTCAAGATATGAATGTAGATAATGGGCAAACATTTTTAATGTATTGGAGTTAATTGATAAACCTTTAAACTTCTACATTAAGGACAAAAATCATTTATTCTGTTTAAAGTAAAGAAGATAAAGCAAGGTGACATGTTAGTTTTATTTCAGAAATTTTTATACTTCATATCACTTGTCATTGACAAGACATTATATCATGTCATTAAAAGACATTCCCCTTTATATCATTTGTCATTTTAAGGCATTCTTGTATCTATCACTTGCCAGATTAAAAAGTCATTCCTCTTGATATCATATGTCATTTAAAGACATTCCCCTTAATGTCATTTGTCATTTAAAGACATTCCCCTTAATATCATTTGTCATTCAAAGACATTCCTCTTTATATCATTTGTCATTTAAAGACTTTCCCCTTAATATCATTTGCCAGTTAAAAGACATTCCCCTTAATATCATATGTCATTTAAAGATATTCCCTGTAATATCATGTCATTTAAAGACATTCCTCTTTATATCATTTGCCAGTTAAAAGACATTCCCCTTAATATCATATGTCATTTAAAGACATTCCCTGTAATACCATGTCATTTAAAGACATTCCTCTTTATATCATTTGCCAGTTAAAAGACATTCCCCTTAATATCATTTGTCATTTAAAGACATTCCCCTTAATATCATATGTCATTTTAAGGCATTCTTCTATATATCTCCTGCCAGTTAAAACAGTCATTCCTCTTTACAACATATATCATTTAAAGACGTTTCCATTAATATCATATGTCATTTAAAGACATTCCCCTTATTATCATATGTCATTTTAAGACATTCCTCTCAATATCATATATCATTTTAGGGCATTCTTCTATATATCACCTGCCAGTTAAAAAAGTCATTCCTCTTTATATCTTTTTTCATTTAAAGACATTCCCCTTTATATCACTTGTCATCTTAAGGCATTCCTCTTCATATCATTTATCATTTACATAGAAAGGTGATCTCAATTAAGCAGTTTTGAGAAAATTGAATTATTCAACATTTTTAAGTTAACTTCATCAGTTTGCATGTGTTATATTTTCACTAATAAAAGATGCTCGAAGATTTTATAAAGATGATAATCACATAACCAAGAATGTATGGATATATATCTGAGTATATCTCCTGTATATACTGTATGTAAATATGGACTTATATGAACGTGTATCACATATTATTGCATGTTTTTTTATCGTCTGTTGAAGCAGATTTAAGGAAAGTCACAAATCTAGTCGCTATGCAACAAATTTTATATAACATAAATGTAGAAATCAAAAGTTTTGAATTACTTTGTTTTAGTTTTGTTTGTTTGTTTTTTTTCTCTTTTCAAAATTCTTCTTGTTTTTATGGTATTTTTTTCATATTACTGATATTGCAATAATGATATTAAAATTTATGATTACACATTATCAAGTTCAACTTTCTTTCCTTTCTCAACTGTTTTGATGAGTTTATAGCTACAAATTCAGTTAAGCACCTGTAAATCAGAATTTAAATTAAAAACACCGACTGATTTCTCACACAAGCCGCTTTGATGCGTGAGCATACTTGATTTATTGATAAACTGGGCTAGCTTGGATTGTTCTCTCCGAACATGCTATCTTTTGAGTTTTAATAAAACATTCTACCATGGTTGAGTTTGATCCTTGCATGTGATTTATGACTTGATCTTGCAAATTTGACACTAATTCTCAAAAGGGTTGTCATAAATAAAGTTTGATATATTAAATCAATCTTTATTTCCTCAAATTGACTAAATTTAGCTCTGTTGTGGAAAAAATCATCAAGAAAGAAAAAAATTTATCTGAACTTAATCAATTAGTGATGGAGGTTTCCAGTCATACACTGTCCTATATTGAAAGTTATATTTTGGTAGTAAGATCTCAGCACCTTTTAACAATGTGTCAACTTTGAAAGAAAATTTACCTGCCAACACATTCTTCATATTAATTTCAAAAGCTTTCATTTCTGTTTTGGTTGATTTCACAATGATGCATGAAAAATAAAAAAAAAAAAAAAAAAAGAATATTTTCCAAATATCACCAAAGAAAAAATCTAGATCTCATTTACTATTGGCTTGATGTTTTAACTTGATGACAGAGTTTGGCTGAAGATTGTGTCGAGTTTTACCCTCTCCCCCTTTTACTCTAATTCTCTCTCATGCTAATTGGATTTGTTCCTGCATGTCATCTGTTCTGTGTTTTGATTGGCTAACAGACCGTCTTCTGGAGGAACAGGCACACACAAGAACTAACCAACAAGAAAATGAACGGCTCAAGAGTGAGTGACCTCCCCTTGGTTTGGGATAATCTGCTGAATGGTTTCTAACTTTCAAACGAAAAAAAAAAAAAAAACTTTCGTATTTGTTATTTTAATGGGTGTCCTGGTATATGATTGCTTGATATGCTTTAAGTGTCATTTGAAGCTTTGTGACCTTCACAGAATCATATCATCTGATTCCTATCGGCTCTTGTCTTTATTTACCAGGTAGCTTTATATCTGTTATTGGCAACAAAAGAATGGTTATAAATGTAAAAAGTCAGATATATAGAAAATGGTGACTTCCTCATGAGTATTCCCCGGTCACTTCTAACTGTATAAAACACTTCCTGACCAGACTTACTCTTGTTTAATGGCAAACTGTAATAAATGTTGATATTTATATACATTCAATGTGCATGTTTACATATATATCAGGTGTAAGACGGTATATATTTGCATGGCTATATAATCTATTACATCTAACCATCATTTAATCTTAAGGAAAACCATCTTAATATACAAGGGAATACGGGGGATTCGTGGATATGAGCTCAGATAATCCATTACCGAGTCATTGGGTAATTTGTTAATTTGGATTATTAAGTTAAAGTAGACACTTTTAATCATTATAGAGATTATCAGTTAGTGCTTGAATTTCAGGTCAATTGGATCAGGAGAAAACCAGACATAAAGACACAAAGAAAGATTTGGAGGAAGCCAAGCGTAAGTCAATAAGGTTTCAAAGTCCAGAGGAAAAAAATCCAACACCATAAAGGGAGATAACTGATTAAATCAGGGGGAAATCTTCCAACACCATAAAGGGAGAGAACTGATTAACTCCAAGGGAAATCTTCCAACACCATAAAGGGAGATTACTGATTAACTCCAAGGGAAATCTTCCAACAACACAAAGGGAGATAACTGATTAACTTAAGGGGAAATATTCCAACAACATAAAGGGAGATAACTGATTAACTCCAGGGGAAATCTTCCAACAACATAAAGGGAGATAACTAATATATTTTAGGAGAAAAACTTTGATAATATTAAATAAGAGAACCAATATTTAGAATCATGCATTCAGAGCCAAAAACCATAGAGTAGCAGATAATTGGACATAGACAAAATCTTGATTTTGCTAAGGGCTTAGTTGAGATGTATATTTAGTGCCATCTAAACCAGTATTGTTACATTATTGTACATTTGATAATAATACGTAGGATGTACAATGTTGTGAGGCAAGGTATACTTTTAGAGCAAAAGGAATGGTATGTAGACTATAGAGACATTTTGAAATGTTTTCTCTTTAGGTGTACAACAAGAGGCACAACAGAATGCCAAGCAAAGCCATAATGAAACAGAACAACTCAAAAGTAAGTATTTATTCTGGTATAGGACTTTAAATAACACTTTTGTAATTCTCTGTCACAGGAGGTTGTAGTCTGTCAGGCTACCTCCTGTTGTAATGGCTTGAGAATCAGAAGGGAAAATAAAGGATGGAAAGAGGAAAAGACATTTGGGTATTGAACCGTAGATTTTAAAAATCAACATGTGAAAGAACAAAAAAAATTAATTAATCATCACATTAGCAGTATGACATTTCAAACTTAGGTATTGTGTTAAATGAGATTTTTTTGTGAAAAATTGAAATTGACAAAAACGTTTTTCTTGATTTATTATCAATTAAAATAACACCACAAGTTTTTAGTGTCTTTTTCGAGACCTCAAAGGAAATTTGTCTAAAGTAATAGGGAATACAAGTCATGAATAAGCAATTTTGTTCTGAAAAGATTGTATGTGACATTTAAGTCCATTAGTATTGTAACTTTGATTTTCTATGTTCAAATTCTGTTAACCTTGAGGGTTTACTTCATAAATTTGATAGAAAATTTAATTTATGGAATGGAATTTTGACAAATGGTGTGGCATTCACAATAATTTTGAAGAAAGACTTAGTACCAGGTTTTATTTTTTTTAGTGAATCATGTATTTTTCAATATGATCTTTGAACTCTAAATCACACATACATAGTAAATGATTATTTTTTTTATTTACCACTGATAGCACTTTGACAATAATGTCATGTCATAAAAAGCTATTTCAAAATTCAAATTTTATTTAAATATTCATTCGAAAAATTGAAATATCTCACATATGTTATAAAGGACCACTTGTGTTTTTTTTTGTTTGACAAAGGTTTGTATCATTTCCCCCCACCCTACTTTTAGGCATGCTCAAACTGAAGGCATAAAGCTAATTCTGGCTGCTTTTGAACTTTTTCCTTACTTCTTAAATATTTTTTCTTGGTTGTGTGCTGTATATATTGTGCTAATGACCTTTCTCAAATATTGCAAATAAACTTTTAAGGCTCACTTATAGGCTTGGAAAAGGAAAAATTGCCATTGGAAATTCTTTAATGAAAATATGATTGTAATTATTAAAGGGAGCAGTTAAGAGAGAAGATTATGGTTAGAAACATATAAAGATATATTTCTGTTCCGAAATATGTTTGATAAACATTTTCAATATGTGGTCTTAGGTTTAAGGATTAAGTCTCTAAAAGCTGATTTGTATTCAGTTTAGTGCCCATATATGGGTAGGAAAGTAATAGGTTAGAAATGTGAAGAATTCGTCAATTGTATGAATAATTTATTAGAAGTTATACATATGTATAATTGTTAGTTTGAATTGTATTTTACTACTTGTACAGTACACATGAGTGGGCTGTAACATTCCTGTAGTAAACCAACAATTATTCCTGAAAACAAGAAACATCATCATCATCCATTCTGATGTCAGTGCTATGCTAAAAAGTTTACTACTCATTGTATAAACTAGGCCCTGTGTACACTGACCAGATAGATTGGTCCAAGGCCTGGAAAAGGGCCACAACAACTCATGCGGTTACAGTGTTGGTTAACTTTATCTAAAGTGAAAATCCGATGTTCCTGGTTCGACATCCTCTAGTGTTGGCAGCTTGGGTTTCTCATGAAGCTGAGAAACCGTTCATTCAGTGTTGATGTGGCTGGGTCCTTGGGCAAGACACTTAACCCTAAGTGCTGTAGACGGCACACAATGGGCCTCCCACATGTTGTTCATAAAGGTAGCTACAAGCTACTACAAGAAGTTTCCATCCCAAAATGACCCTGTCTGTTTATAGAGCAATAAACAAACAAACAAACAAACAAACAAACCCAGTCCTGGTTAGTAATACAGCTCTGTCAGGGCTGTGATACATGTAAATCCTTTCTTTATATAAACCCTACTTAATCTTGTTAAAGGTGACACAGAGCACAGCTCTGTTAGGTGCTATAAAAAGCTATTTATTTCTTTTATGTATTTATTTATATATAAAAAAAAGTCTTACAGGCATATGAATATCATTAATATTAGTATATATTGTTTCTAAGCATCCTGAAACATTGTTAGTCTCTACCTCAAACCAAAAAAAGTATAAATGTAAAAAGATGAAGACTTCCTTACATCTAACGAGCTTACTTTGGATGAAGACTTCCTTACATCTAACGAGCTTACTTTGGATGAAGACTTCCTTACATCTAAAGAGCTTACTTTGTACAAGCTTTAGATATTTTACTTATATGCATGCCTATTTAATGCTTCTGCTCCTAAGGATTGTAGTTTGTTGTCGTAACATTATGTGAACTTCTTACCTTTGTCCACATTGGTTAACTTGTTGACCTTTGTCCACATTGGTTAACTTGTTGACATTTGTTCAAATTGGTTAACTTGTTGACCTTTGTTCACATTTCTCAACTTGTTAACCTTTGTCCACATTGCTTAACTTGTTGAACTTTGTTCACATTGTTTAACTTGTTGACCTTTATCCACATTGGTTAACTTGTTGACCTTTGTCCACATTGGTGAACTTGTTGACCTTTGTCCACATTGGTGAACTTGTTGACCTTTGTCCACATTGGTTAACTTGTTGACCTTTCTTCATATTGGTTAACTTGTTAATCTCTGTTTCTGTGAGGTAAAATATCACTGTTTATTTGATCTATCAGCATGATTGGCTTGGTATGCTCCCTTCGCTGGATTTACTTGATTTTCATTTCATTTCCACTGGAATCTACTCCCAGGAGTTTGTATTTTTTCTTCAGTGTTGTTTATTTTGTCTGCTGTGTAAATTGCCTTTTTTTCATTATCATTTTGTCATATTTCATTTGTCAAAGTTGACCTTGACCTTTCCTGCTTGGATGAGTTACAACTTGCTACCTATAGCTGTGTAGTTTTGGTGTTTAGAGTTGCTCCCCCTTACCTGCATGTTCTGTTGTGATCAGTATAAGGCATGAATTTTTTCTTCATTTCTCTTTTGAATGATTTGCTTGTCAAAGAACGGCATGCCTCCTTTTGGTCTGTGGCTTCTGCGGTGTTCTCTGCCAGGGATTTTGATGTCCATCATTGATGGTATTTGGACCGTTGTTGTAATCATCTTCATAATGTATTTCATTTATAGTCAAGGTACGCCATCTTCAAGAGAGAGTTGACGATCGTCGAGAGAGGGCACGAGACTCGCATCATTCGCGATTCTCTCACTCTCACTCCGAACCTCATAGTCCTACCACTTCTAAACAGAGAGGTAATATCGCTGGTAATTGTCAACATTTTCTTCGCATCTTTTTATTTACCCACTTGCCCACATCAAACTTGGCTTGTTTTGGATGGATACAGCCGTTGAGCACACCTATCAGCTGTGTTTGGTATTTTGTTGCTGTGATTTGGTCCTTTTGTCATTCCACAGTCTGGCAGCTACACATTGTTTACTGTTTACATTATTTGGTTAGTGGTGGAAATCATTGCCTACATTCAGGATTTTGTTAAAAATCATGGCTTCTTAATTTTGTTTAATGAATCAGTGTTGATGGTATGCATGTTGGTTTTAGGCTTGTAAAGATTTTTATCATTATTCAACATCAGTTCATCTCCTACATTTGATATTGAGTCGGGAATAGGTACATAACAATTTGTATATCGTGCCCAGTATTAACACATGAAAAAAAACACACTCATATTTTTAAAACAGTTATTCAGTAGAGATCATTTTCATTCTTATCCATATAATATCATTTAAATGTCATAAAGCCATCACGTTGTATTATGTCTGATCTTCTGTTAGATTACCTGTAGCTCCATCACCAGATGTATGTACTCCAAAGCATGGTATGGTGTGATGTAATTTTACAGTTTTTTTCTCTCCAGTTAGAAATAAAGAGACTTATATGCATACCTGGTAAAGGTTCTGTAGCATGTATTGTTCCTGTGATTGGTTGGTTTGCTAAATTGATTTGTAAACTGACTTATCATTGGTTGGAATATATATGTTATTAGACTTCTGGTTTTTTTTCTCCTTCTCGAAGCAGCTGAATTCACTGCCCTCAAGGAGGAATGTTCTAGTCTCCGTAAGCGAATCCAAGCCATCGAAGCAGAGATGAAAATGTAAGTAATGTTTCTGTCAGTAATAATGCATTAGGCTTCTGTACCTGCATTGTCATGGGTAAGGATGATGTAATTAATGATATGGGACAAATTATTAGTGCTAATAGTGGTAAAATTGTTACTTTGTAGATACTGTTCGTCTTATTGACGATACAATTATTGCTTAGGGAGATAGTGTTAGTCCTGAGGATGGTAAAATTGTTACTTTGTAGATACTGTTCGTCTTATTGACGATACAATTATTGCTTAGGGAGATAGTGTTAGTCCTGAGGATGGTAAAATTGTTACTTTGTAGATACTGTTCGTCTTATTGACGATACAATTATTGCTTAGGGAGATAGTGTTAGTCCTGAGGATGGTAAAATTGTTACTTTGTAGGAGATACGTGTTGCTTAGTAGTGTTAGTTCTAAGGATGGTAAAATTGTTACTTTGGGAGATAGTGTTAAAGGATTAAAATTGTTACTTTGGGAGATAGTGTTAGTTCTAAGGATGGTAAAATTGTTACTTTGGGAGATAGTGTTAGTTCTAAGGATGGTAAAATTGTTACTTTGGGAGATAGTGTTAGGAGATAGTGTTAAAATTAAAATTGTTACTTTGGGAGATAGTGTTAGTTCTAAGGATGGTAAAATTGTTACTTTGGGAGATAGTGTTAGTTCTAAGGATGGTAAAATTGTTACTTTGGGAGATAGTGTTAGTTCCAAGGATGGTAAAATTGTTACTTTGGGAGATAGTGTTAGTTCTAAGGATGGTAAAATTGTTACTTTGGGAGATAGTGTTAGTTCTAAGGATGGTAAAATTGTTACTTTGGGAGATAGTGTTAGTTCTAAGGATGGTAAAATTGTTACTTTGGGGGATAGTGTTAGTTCTAAGGATGGTAAAATTGTTACTTTGGGAGATAGTGTTAGTTCTAAGGATGGTAAAATTGTTACTTTGGGAGATAGTGTTAGTTCTAAGGATAGTAAAATTGTTACTTTGGGAGATAGTGTTAGTTCTAAGGATAGTAAAATTGTTACTTTGGGAGATAGTGTTAGTTCTAAGGATGGTAAAATTGTTACTTTGGGAGATAGTGTTAGTTCTAAGGATGGTAAAATTGTTACTTTGGGAGATAGTGTTAGTTCTAAGGATGGTAAAATTGTTACTTTGGGAGATAGTGTTAGTTCTAAGGATGGTAAAATTGTTACTTTGGGAGATAGTGTTAGTTCTAAGGATGGTAAAATTGTTACTTTGGGAGATAGTGTTAGTTCTAAGGATGGTAAAATTGTTACTTTGGGAGATAGTGTTAGTTCTAAGGATGGTAAAATTGTTACTTTGGGAGATAGTGTTAGTTCTAAGGATGGTAAAATTGTTACTTTGAGAGATAGTGTTAGTCCTAAGGGTGGTAAAATTGTTACTTTGGGAGATAGTGTTAGTCCTAAGGATGGTAAAATTGTTACTTTGGGAGATAGTGTTAGTTCTAAGGATGGTAAAATTGTTACTTTGGGAGATAGTGTTAGTCCTAAGGATGGTAAAATTGTTACTTTGGGAGATAGTGTTAGTTCTAAGGATGGTAAAATTGTTACTTTGGGAGATAGTGTTAATTCTAAGGATGGTAAAATTGTTGCTTTGGGAGATAGTGTTAGGCCTATGGATGGTAAAATTGTTACTTTGGGAGATAGTGTTAGGCCCAATGATGGTAAAATTGTTACTTTGGCAAATAGTGTTAGTCCTAAGGATGGTAAAATTGTTGCTTGTAGAGAAAATGTGCAGTTAGAGGTAGTGTTACCCTATTGGGCAGTAAAGTTAATGTTAGGGGAGATAATGTTACCCCAATGGGTGGTAAAGTTGATGCTAAGTTGGAGATAGTGTAGGTCTATAGGTAATTAACTCTTTTTCTACAGGATAGAGGTGTCCTGTATGTCGAGATAATAGTGATCTGGTTCATACACACCATGATATCTTTATTTACATGCACTTCATTTCATTCACAGGTGATAAAGTCTGTAAAAATCAGGAATAACAGTGTCACTTTTGTGACTTTCAGCAACATAACAAATAAAAGAAATTTATGTTTGAAATTTACATCAGAATGAGTTGTCTATATGTGTTTTAGGTCTCGGAAGGAGAACCTGCAGCTGTCTGCAGAATACAACAAGCTTCAAGAGTCATACAAACATCTTGAGAAACTCAAAGTCCAGTTGGAAATGAAGGAACTCGCATGGAAATCTAACCTCACTGATTCGCAGAAAGAATCGGAACAGGCATTGCAGGAGGTGAGACAAGTCTCCACCCCCGGGGCCGGCCCCCCACCCCAGGGGGAGTCCTCAGCAGACACCCATCTGACACGTGTAGGTATCGGGGTGCCCTTTTGCCCCCTCCTTGCTGTTGTGTGGCCAAGACATGTATCCCGTCCTCTCTGCGTCCTTAAGGCTGTGTGTTTAAGCTTTCAGCCTTTAGTATGGGGCCTAGTTATTGTTTCCATGGTACAGTGCATACAAGTTTTAGTTCTCCCTAGATAATTAGTGTTTGTGATTTTGGTTTTTATTTGCACGATTTATTTTCTCAGCTTTATAGTAAGATACCTGTAGTGAGTTTTTTTTTTAATCCTGTTATGCTTACTCTTTTGATGAATCTTTTCCAAGAATTTTTAATTTTTTTTTTTTTTTTTAAAGTTATAGATCGCAGCATGCCATCTTTTGAGTGAACCTTTGCTTTTAGCCCTTAAATTTGACAGATCACAAGTTATGTGGACAAGGCCCGAACTTGTTTTGGGGTTCACAGCTGTTTGATGTTAGTGGATGAACCATCTTGTTTATGGTGTTTACATGTCACACTTTGTTTTCATATTCAGGAGCTTGTCCTTATTTACACAATTTTCATGCAAGATGTCATTAATTGACACTGGGTTGTGAGAAATGCAGGTTGATGAAGATTATGGGGAAAGTTTTACTGTTATCGCAATTGATTACAAAGGGAGATAATCTATTCCCTTGTGCAATATGAAGTTGGACATATTTTGCCAGGTAGTTTTGTTGTTACACTTACTGGGGAATGTGACATTACTTACTTGGATTTACCTGGTGGGTGTCATTGATGAAGCAAAAGACACTTGCTCTTCTGGATTACCAGGTCTTATTCTGCTTGTACTATATCAGGAGTCTTTATCACATTTTGCTCTAGTTTCATCGAATTTGAATTTGAAGACTACCTTACTTTTGGTATATAGGGATAGAAAGGAATGAAATGTTTTTTCTGTTGTCTTTGACTGATAACAAACAAAAATGGTCTATTCTATTTGGTTCAAATTTCATCAGCCATTTGTTAAACACAATTTACGAGAAAGGTGAGGGTTTTCTTTCTTTCTGTCTTTTGAAAATAATCCAACACTGGATCATTTTTGTGCTGGTAGAAACCAGGATGTTATAAGAAATTAAATGTTGGACAATTTCTCAATATATCTTATCCAGTTAATACCACAAAATGGATGTGACAAGTTAATGAGGAGTATGAGTTAGCAAGTAATCGTGAAATACATTGTTCTGTTGGTGTTGATGTCGTGTTTTGAGGGGATAAGTTTTAAACCTCACACTGAACCTCGCATAGAAAGGGCAAGATATTGGGATTTATACCACTTAAGATTTTAACATAGTCTCTTTCCAACTTCACACAATTGTTTCATCTAGTTAACTCAATCAATAGAATTCAACATCTTGATCCCTATAATCGCCCTCCACAGCAGCTCTCAGCTCAATGTCTTCCTCGTATCCCGAGCCCTGAAGGTGATTTTCCAGTGTAGGAAATGCATTGGAGCCACCAATACGACCTCACATGAAATAAGTAGCCAAGACAAGGATGTCTATATTACTTCTATATGTAAATGTGTTTAGTGACATTAATAAAGTATGAGTCCAGATCTGTAAGGAGTTGTAAGGGGTTCCTTGATGGTTGTTCTCTTTCTTTGTGTATACTGTACATGTTATAGGAACAGTTGTACCCTGGGTACTCTGTACCAGTGTTATTCCTATGGTACAGAACCTCTCTCCCAGATGTTGTCCAGTTGTACCCTGGGTACTCTGTACCAGTGTTATCGCTATGGTACAGAACCTCTCTCCCAGATGTTGTCCAGTTGTACCCTGGGTACTCTGTACCAGTGTTATCCCTATGGCACAGAACCTCTCTTCCAGATGTAGTCCAGTTGTACCCTGGGTACTCTGTACCAGTGTTATCGCTATGGTACAGAACCTCTCTCCAAGATGTAGTCTAGTTGTACCCTGGGTACTCTGTACCAGTGTTATCCCTATGGCACAGAACCTTTCTTCCAGATGTAGTCCAGTTGTACCCTGGGTACTCTGTACCAGTGTTATCGCTATGGTACAGAACCTCTCTCCAAGATGTAGTCTAGTTGTACCCTGGGTGCTCTGTACCAGTGTTATTCCTATGGTACAGAACCTCTCTCCCAGATGTAGTCCAGTTGTACCTTGGGTACTCTGTACCAGTGTTATTGCTATGGTACAGAACCTCTCTCCCAGATGCAGTCCAGTTGTACCCTGGGTACTCTGTACCAGTGTTATCCCTATGGTACAGAACCTCTCTCCCAAATCCAGTAGTACCCTTGGGTACTCCATAATTCACTCCCAAGTGTAATCTCTGTGGTACAGAACCTTTTCCCAGATGACATCCAGTTCTGTTTAGATTTATCCTTAGTGTTAGGCCTACAAATTGATCCTCTCCAATAAATACCAGTTAGCTTTGCATGGCATGGCCCTTGTTCAGTATATTTTGATATTATAGTAAGTATGTTTATTTCATATAATTGAAAACAACTTCACACATTTGAGAGAAAGTTTACATTTTTTTTTATGTACATTTGAAGTACGAACAATTCATTAGATGTATTATCTTTAGAGAAAAGTTTAAATTAAAAGTTTTTAAAAGTATTCTGCAATGTTTTTTAACAACTGGATGACAAAAAATATCTGTTGAATAAAATTAGGGGAATGCCCTAAACAGAAAAGAGTTGAAGCTTATTTCCCTTTATCTTGTTTCAGCTTGAGCATTCCCAGGAGGAGGTAGCCATATTGAAGGAAAAGTGTGAGACCTCGGTGACGAAGATAGGAGAACTCAAATCAGAAATAGACAGTATGGCTGAAGACTATCATCAACTAGCTAACAGATCAAAGATGGTAAGTCTGTGTGGTAATGTCTGCTTTAGTATGTCTCTGCTTTTGTAGAGGTAGAAGGTAGGATAACAAATCATCTCGTCTGCCTATTAGTCGTAAGATCTCTTCTTCAATAGCAGCTGCTTGTGTATTTGCAGTATTTACCCTGCTGTAAACCTAACTGGCCAGCAAATAAAGTCTAACTCAAAATCTAGGGGTGGACTTATTATTGGACATTTAAATAACATTGGAGACAAGGATAGGCTTGTTATCAGACATATGCAAATTATCAGTGAAAATAAATTTCCCATTTCCCAAATTGGGCTTGCTATAAAATTAATTCAAATTAATGTTGCTTTGTATCTCATGTTAATTTTGTAGTACCTTGATTGTGAAAATGATAATTTGATTGTGTCGTTATTTTTGCTCCAGCAATCCTTTGCCTCCAGTGTGCCACTGCTGATGCTGCTGTTTGGAATTCTCATGGCTCTGTACCCATGGCTAGCCCAGCTGACAGCAACTACGACTTGACCCTTGCTAAACTTCAACTTAGACCACAACATTTACAATCATCACGCTACAACTCAACATGTTTACAGATGTTACCATGGTGATCTGTGAAAAAGGACTGTTGCTACGGCAACCGTTGACAATGTACTGTTGAGTTGAAGTTTCAATTTTCATCATCATTGCCATCATGATGACGTTGGACCAGTGTGTGTTTGTGTGTTACATCAAAAATGGACCAAATTTTTTTTTTTTTTTTATCTCTCTTTATGGGTGGAATCCATATTTGATAGCAACACTACAAATAGATAATCATACATTTCTGAAAATTCAGGCATAATACATTTTTAGAAATCCGTTTTCGAAATTTGTTCATGGATGGTTTCCCAAGAGAGCAGCAATTTGATGTAAATTCTGTTTTGCAAAACAGCTGAGATATTTTAAAAAAACATTTCGTTAATTACTCATCAGGATCCTGAAAAGATGAGATCGTATCAAATCATTTAATAGATTTAAATGTTTGGTTGTTTACCTTGATTGTTGAAACTAAAAAGATGACAAAGTCTGATAATGCTAAGCCCCACTATAAAGACTGGGACAAAGGCAACATTCACTGATGTTGATGTGTGTAGTTTGTTAACCCTCCTTAAGTGTACGGCTATCGTGCATATTTATCATGGTGTGAAATCTTCATATCATCATTTAGTTTGTGTATGTCAGCCAGTTTTATGTGATATTGTATGCTTGCTGGTAAGGAAAACATTTTAGGTTTTGAAGGATGTTTGTATGTGCATAATAGTGTCATACAGTAGCAAGGACACAAGTTGTCTCCCCTTGTTTAACTTTACCCACTGTTGTGTTAGGTATGATGAACATACAGTAAAATATACAAGATATCTCCTGATATTATGAAATGATCAAAAGTTTATGCATAATTTACTATCAAATATGAAAATAAAGTTAAAATTCAGTATTAGGTGTGTCTTTTATCTAGATCAATATCAAAACTAATCAACCATAACATAGAAAAAAAAAAAAAAAAAAAAAGGCTTCCTTGTGAGTAGACAGCTAGATGAGATTTTAGCAGATAATTTTTGGACCAACATAGTATTTAGTTGTACATTACTTGAAACTGCTTCTGTAGAAATTGTAGTCCGTTTTGTGAAGATTTTTTACTTGTGAATTGGATTTCTACCTCATTAGGAATCTTAGTCTGTGATGTGAAGCTTGACAGTACAATGTCCTGAAAGCTAATTTTGTCTAAAGAAATTCTCAAGCGTAGATTATGAAAAATTTAACTTGGAAGAACCTGCAAACTGTTTGAAATCGATTGTAAGCATTAACACTGCTGGGAAACCTAAATGATCTCATTGGAAAGAGATATTGCTTCCAACACGACCATTAAAGACATTACTCAATGTGTCTCTTAGATCATTAATTACTGACAACCATAGCTCATGGTGTGGCATTGGTGCTAACTCACACAGACTCAGGAGTAGTGGGGCTGCATGTGATAGATCTAACTCAGGACTGGGACCTTTTGTAGGATCTGTTTAAAAATCATGTTTTGTTTCAATACCATACTTTTGATATTTTCTCAGATCTATATTCTTCATTCTAGAATTAGTTTCCCCATTGTAGTGCTATTTGTTTAAGTAAAATGTATATATGTGACATTTTATTAATGTGTTCAAGTTTTAGAACTTTGAACCAAACTTAGGAAACAGGGACTGTTCCTCAAGGGGAGATAACTTGCTTTTTGTGAATCAACAATTTTTTTTTTTTTTTTTTAGTTTGTGAATTTGTTGTTTGTAAGAAATCGAGATGACATGAAATGTATATATATGTTACCAAAGTTTGATCTGTGTATATATGTAGATAATGTACAGACATTATTAATGGACATTTAATATAAAGTTATTTATATACACTTTTTTTTGTTTTGTTAATCCCTGTGAATAACCCTTAGTATTATCAGCTTTACATCATATAGATAACAAACATGGAAAAAGTGCTCATTCTGTAAGCCAAAATATCATGCTGCATATGAATGAAAAAGTCATTTTTACAACTCTCAGTATCCTCTTGATTGTAAAATGTATACAGATATGAATTAAAGTGAAGTTGTACTCCACAGTTTCTGTTTTTTTAGATAAGTGAATAATTATTAAACTTATGCTAATATTTTTCTTTTGCTATGAAAAAAACTATTTTGTTAGCATTGAAAAAAAAAAAGAGAAAAGATTTCAGAAACTGCTGATGAAAAATCTTTTTACTTTCATACTAACATCATCACAGATATGAATTCTCCAAATACGGACTTCACAGATAACTGTCTCAACATCTTGTATCAATATTACAAATTGGACCCATGAACATTTGGAAAAATTTTAAAGGATTAGTTGTATTAACTTAGTTCCCCTAAGAGGAACCTTTTCTAAAGAAAAAGGAAATTTGATGTTTTACTATTGTAGCATTCTTTCAAATGTTATATGTAATAAAAGACCAGAAATTTAGAAAATTCTACAGAATAGATATGAATATAATTTTCATTGATATATTTGTGAATTGAGCAGTGAAGTATTCATTTTAACGGACTTTTTCAGTAGAGGTTATACAAATGTTTTGCAGAAACTAGTTTTAAAGACGCTACATAAATAGGGTATGTAATTTATTGTCAGTAATTTGTCTTCCTACCAACACTTGTGTATTCTGGCCACCAAAATGGCTCACAGCAGTAGTTGGTCTTTTAACACCAACATGTGGTCTCTGCAGGTTGACAACAGTATACACTGGTCACTGACGGTCAGAAGTTGGTCAGTCAACACCAACAGGTGATCTCTGCAAGCTGAAACCAGTATACACTGGTCACTGACGGTCAGTAGTTGGTCAGTCAACACCAACAGGTGATCTCTGCAAGCTGAAACCAGTATACACTGGTCAGTGTCGGTCAGTAGTTGGTCAGTCCACAGCAATAGTCTTTTTGTTTTAGGTTTAGCTGCTGTTGTATATAGATCACTATTCCTTATGCTGACTGTTTTAAATAGTTTTGCCATCTGCTGGAAGAGCTATACAGTAGTAGAACAGATATAATTCAACAACATGAAGTAATTCATTAAAAATGAATTTAACTACATTTTCACTATGAACTGTTGCATTGTAACAAGAATCCAAGTTGAATGTATGTTTTTTTTTCATTTCACATTGATTCATATTCAATTCAAACATAGAGGAGACTTGGGGAAGTATTTGTAATGGACTACACCCAAGACGGTTCAACAACAGTAATCAGATTGGGGCAGAGCAGTATACTCCCACTTTAGAATAATGATATACAAACTTGGTGATGATCATAATGTTCATATAAGGGAAGATTATTCACCATTATTATCAAGTTCACCAGCAATAACCATACATGTAATCTGCTTCACAAATAACTGTCTCTCATAGATGTGTGACTTTCGTGAGCTTGGTAATATTTTGGGTGATAGAGGGATTCTGCTCATTTTGTGGGTATCCTGCCATGTATTAATGTGAGAAAGTTGAACTACAATTTGTGAACCTTAACCAAACTTAGATATACATGTACAGTGTGACACGTGATAGGGATATTCATGCTGTGTCTGTCAGTTTCAAGTGCTACTGGGAATCAGAAGTATGATTTAGATATGTACATGTCTTCAATGAGGTTGGTTCCTTTATATATCATGATAATTCTGAACGTTTAACCGTTACAGAATGCTAGTGACTCCTATCTAGCAATGTAGGAAATATTTAACAGGTATCTTGAGTTTCACATTTTTTTACATGGGTTTGTTCTAATAGGTCTAGTGACAGATTTGATAGACAACAGGAATAGAATCATACTTAAGAGGTATACAGTGCCATGAAAAGGTTATCTTCCCTCAACTCTCTGTGCCTTACAGTGCTTTCATAATCAGCATTCAATTAGCTCTCCTTAGTGGATTTTTTGTTTTGTCTTTTTTTTTTTTTTTTTTTTTGAAGTGAAAGCCATAACAGATCAAAATTATCCAATAAATATTTTTTCAAAAAGATTTTTCAAAAAAGTGTTTTAACTCATGCACTTTCCTTCTGTTATAAAGAATTCTTGAAATTGCAAAAATGATTTTTGTGACACTGATGAACAAAAAATGGTGCTAGAAAAGATTATTAGGGACCATTTTTATTCATTACAGAGGTAAAAATATGCTGAAAAATTCAGTTTTTTTCTGTTTGCTTTACTGAGCATTGTCATGATGTTATGTTGAGTTGAAGTCTGAAATAGAATGATTGTCAGCGATCGAGATTCAGCATACCAACATTTTGATAGACATGAGAAACTGGAGAAAATGAATGTTGTAGGATTCTACCAAAAAATGAATTTTAACATAAAAAAATTTAAAAAAAAAAAAAAATCTTGGAAAAAGAGGAAAGTGAGATGAGTGATAGGCAGGAAATGGTACCTATGAATGCTTGAATATTCTAACATTGTGTTGTTGTGTAATGATACAAAATAAATAAGTTTTCACTTGTTTTGTTGCCAGTAGAAGAAATCACTCATCTTCAGTTCCTCATAATGCATTGTAATTCAGTTATTAAAAGGCAGCTGTGTAAAAGTGTTTTCACATTTAGAGAATTTACTTGCTTTCCATTATTTTAAACATGTGTTTTTGTGACATCCCATCATAATGCTACTGATTTCCTTCAGAAATCAAGAAGGAGATTTATTTCTTTCTATTTCTTAATTTTTTCTTCATAATTCAGTTTGAGATTTTAACCAAAATTAACTAATTAGGTACTGTTTATGCTTGTTGTTATTAACGATAGCGTAAAATTTATTAATAGGCTTTGGAAATTAATTGATAGTTTATACAACAAACTTGAAAAATTTTGAAGTCAACAACAAATTACTTAAAATAAAGGAATGAGAAAAGAAAAGTTTTAGAATATAGACTGCAAAGGGACAAATTTAAAAAGGATTTGGAATTTGGTAACTGTTGGAGAAAATTGAGAAATAGAAATCTGTGGCATGTGCTTGAATTGACACTTGTTTTCGCCTCCTCAGAGACCTATCTTTGGTGTCTTATTTGAAAAGCTCACTCAGGTCCAGTCATCAACCTTTAGTTATCATATACCATCTTTCGTGGCAGGGTTTTGTTGTACATAATAGCGGGGCATTAACAAGTTGTAGAATATAGATTACAGAAAAATATAGCAACTTCTAGTATTGATGTAGTGTTTCAGAAACCAGAAGAATTACACGACAAAAGATGTTGGTATATAAGGTTATAGAAAGATAGATCTAATTAAGTGTGGGACGATCATAATATGGGGGTGACTTTAGCAACATGTTTAAATACATGGTAACTGATTGGTAGTATATCTATGATATTTTGTAGTCTTGGTAACAGTAATGTTTTTACCGTAGCTAAATGTCAGTGTAAATGAAAACACAATGCAGCAATGTTAGCGAAGCATTTCTGATCCTGTTATTAGGCCTACAGTGAATGTCGTCTAAATCAAAACCTGTTTAGTCAGATTACTTTATATACTGGACTTCCACACAATAGTTCAGTGTTAATTGAACTTTTGTAACTTGTGAATGCATTTTACTCCATTAAAGGTAATTTTTTGTGGGAGAGTCAGTTAAGACAAGGTTCTGATAAGTTACTCAATCCCAGATCTCTAAGCTATACAATCTAGTTTGTTTATTTTAGCTATGACTAGTGCTTCTGTTATTATTTTGAATTACTAGAAATGTTTGATGGTAAATCTGTAAGTTATTTATAGTCATTATTTACTTACATAGAAACTATTCAAGATGTATTAGTTAGAATTTATCAGGAATTGGAAAGTATTCAATATATTCAGTGCTGTGACCTTGACCTTATTTCCCAGAGGTCAGAAGAAGCAATGTCTATATTTGGTCATTATCTATTGTTATCAATTAATTCTCCAGACAGTCTGCCTGAGTAATATGTTGTGATAACCTACATTTTTTATGTACATGTATTATCACTTATTTTTCGTGAGAAGGGTGTAATAATGATGTCACTTCCTGTTCCTACAGGTGATGTTTGTGTGATGTGTGACAACATCACTTCCTGTTGTGTACGTTTGTGTCGTGACATCACTTCCTGTGGGGTACATCTCCTTCCTGTCAGTCAAGGCACACATTGTCTTCGTCTGTTGGGTTGTCTATATTGTTTTTTCGTCCAATCTACATTGTTGACTGTATAGAACTTTCTGATATGCAGAAAGAGAGTTTTTGATAGTGTGTATATAGCGGAAATGTAGATTGGCGTTTGTGCTTTTTTTGTACATATTCCAAAGAGAGCAGTGTATTGTTGTTCCAGTTTATACATAGTTGTATTACAGTGATTCTTTTCTATTATTATCATTTAAACAAATAAACCTATGCAGATTGCACCCTTTGACCTTTGTGTTTGTTTTAACTTCATGAAGTGATACAGTGTATTTTAAATAGCACAATTTAATTCAACAGAGGTCACATGTTTGAAAATTGTGTTTAAGGAAAGCAATGGTGCTGAAACCCAGAGCCTTTTATCTCACTGCTGTAGGTTCTCGGTACCTTGATGTTGTTGGCTGAAATTGTGGAAGGGATTATTACTGATAGACCAAAGCATCATTACTATGTCAGTTTAAGTGTCCAGAAGAATGACAACTTCCTTGAAAAACATTTCCAAAACTGAGCGTGTGCATACTTTAACCTTCAGCTTTATGGACTCGTACAATATTGGAGCACTTAGGATATCTATCTTTAATACAAATAAACAACAAAGGTAAAATATCAGACTTTCTGACACGTCGTGAGAAAAATGGACACTTCACTAAGGTAATTCACAAAGAATAAGAAAGAATTGACGCTAAGAGGACAAAACAAACAAAAAAGGGTACGCCTTAAATTGTACCAGAGGAATTTTATAATGGCAGAGTGGAATCGAGAGCCATTTTATAATGGCAGAGTGGAAATGGCAGAGTGGATTCGAGAGCCATTTTATAATGGCGGAGTGGATTCGAGAGCCAAAGAATAGGGGCAACAACAACCAAGTTGACGATTCTCAGGACGATTGAGGCATATAATGTAGTAGTCGTATATTGGTAATTTTTCAGCATTTAGTCAAACAAGGGGAGAGAACTGAGTATATGAGACAAATTAGAACCATCCTCAAACAAAGAAGATTGAATAAGAATATCAGAAATGTCTTGACGTACATACCAGTACATTAGTAACATTCAACATTTGACTTCACTTTATCATCTAGACAAAAAGTAAAAAGTCTCTGCTGTGGAGGTAAACAACCTGCCAGTATCCATTTAGTCTACCATGTCTCAGTGTCTCCTGACATGCATTTGCTATTTTTTCTAGTCACTAGAATCCAGCATTTCTGTCAGCTTCTACAATTTTCAACCAACTACAACTGCTAAATCTACCCAATGTGAATAACATTTCAGATACTATGGCCATAGAGGTAACTTTCAACAGAGCATGTTGTAGAAGCAGTGAGAACCTGAATAAATAAGATTTTCTTCTCCAGATATGTATTTGTACCATCATTGAGAAAATTGCCATTTTCACCTACAACTGAAACCAAAAAGCTTTTTAGTGACAGGCAAATCCATTATTGGTCAAAAGCTTTCTTCCTCATGGAACAGAAGAGGAGACAGTCTATTTAGAAAAAGAGTACAAAGACTTAACTAGTCGGTAACCATAAGATGGCGTTCTAGTAGCCATTCTTGTTCTAATTTACAACAATGATCTGTTTCACTGCACTTTACAAAGAAACATGCATGACTCTATCATAACCGAAAAGAACCTAAGAACACCATGCAGTATGCAAAAGGACATATACCTGGCTGATGAAGCTGGAGACACCATAACCCCATCTGCGAGTTGAGGACAACATGACCTCAACTCAAAGCTGGTAACACCATAACCTCAACTCCAAGCTGGAGAGACCATAACCTCAACTCCAAGCTGGAGACACCATGACCTCAACTCCAAGCAGGAGACACCATAACCTCAACTCCAAGCTGGAGACACCATGACCTCAACTCCAAGCTGGAGACACCATGACCCCAACTCCAAGCTGGAGACACCATGACCTCAACTCCAAGCTGGAGACACCATGACCTCAAATCCAAGCAGGAGACACCATTACCTCAACTCCAAGCTGGAGACACCATTACACCAACTCCAAGCTGGAGACACCATGACCTCAACTCCAAACTGGAAAGACCATGACCACAACTCCAAGCTGGAGACAAGATGACCACAACTCCAAGCTAGAGACACCATGACCACAACTCCAAGCTGGAGACACCATGACCACAACTCCAAGCTGGAGACACCATTACCCCAACTCCAAGCTGGAGACACCATGACCTCAACTCCAAGCTGGAGACACCATGACCCCAACTCCAAGCTGGAGACACCATGACCTCAACTCCAAACTGGAGACACCATGACCTCAACTCCAAGCTGGAAACACCATGACCCCAACTCCAAGCCCGAGACACCATGACCTCAACTCCAAACTGGAGACACCATGACCCCAACTCCAAGCTGGAGACACCATGACCACAACTCCAAGCTGGAGACACCATTACCCCAACTCCAAGCTGGAGATACCATGACCACAACTCCAAGCTGAAGACACCATGACCACAACTCCAAGCTGGAGACACCATGACCACAACTCCAAACTGGAGACACCATTACCTCAACTCCAAACTGGAGACACCATGACCACAACTCCAAGCTGGAGACACCATTACCCCAACTCCAAGCTGGAGACACCATGACCTCAACTCCAAGCTGGAGACACCATGACCTCAACTCCAAGCTGGAGACACCATGACCACAACTCCAAGCTGGAGACACCATGACCACAACTCCAAGCTGGAGACACCATGACCTCAACTCCAAGCTGGAGACACCATGGCCCCAACTCCAAGCTGGAGACACCACGACACCACGACACCAACTCCAAGCTGGAGACACCATGACCTCAACTCCAAGCTGGAGACACCATGACCTCAACTCCAAGCTGGAGACAACATGACCACAACACCAAGCTGGAGACACCATGACCTCAACTCCAAGCTGGAGACACCATGACCCCAACTCCAAGCTGGAGACACCATGATCAAGGTTAATATACCTTATTCCAAACACCCCCATGACACCAGTATCCAACGGGAAAGATCTTGGTGTTGTCATTGACAACGGTCTCGACTTCCATGAACATGTCAACATACCAGTGTTATAATGAAAAGTGGAACCTTGGTGTTATTCATAGAAATTCACCTCCATAAAACAACACGTTCTTAACACTATAGAAATCACTGGTGCGGAACCGTACTTTGAAGATAGATCCAGTGTGTAATCTCTTTCTCTTAAAAATTCAAGACTGTTGTAGGAAATTTACCAAAGAATGTCAGTAAGAGGAACTTCAATATCTTGAATGTCAAACTCCCTCGAATACTGACCACTTGGAGCGGACAAAGTGGACATTTATGAAAAATACAAAAAAAAATTGTCATTGTCAATACTGAAAATTGTGTGTACCTTTTGTCTATCAGAGGACACACAGAAAATCTCTGTAAACATTGGTTTGTCTGTAAGATAACGAATATTCTGTATTTAACCGACTCTAAACACCTTCAAGAACAAGGTACATAGCAACCTGTCTAACATTTGTTTTGACAAATGTGATAATGATACTTATTAATCAGACTAGGAATGAATATTAACGAAATACAATAAATAGTACACGTAAATTAGTTTACTATTTGACTGCAGTGTTTAAACGTGTGTCGCAATGGGTAATGACGATTTGGATTCTCCTTTACTTTAACTTTCCCTTTCTTAATAGTAACATCGTTTTCTCAATAATTATGATCGAAAAGCCTGCCCAGAAACCTACTGTATCTGTAAATATTGTCGACTGCTCATAGAGAAATACACATCATATCGTTCCGCAAGATGCAGATTGAAGAAGATCAGTATGAACGTTTTCTGACATTATCTCCTTTGGTTTCGTTTAGTTTTAATCATTAGCATGCCATTTATACAGTGAATGATTTATGCCATTTCGTTATTTCGAAAAGTCGGGAATCAAAAATCTATATTTTCGTTCTTTCGTTTTTTCACAACGAAAAGACGACAATAAACAATCTTAATTCTCGTCTTTTCGTCCTTCGAGAATAATGTTTATTACTTGTCGTCAGTTCGGGGGTTGGGTGGGGAGGGGGAGAAGACGAGCATTAAGTTTTGTTAATTGTCTGTCTATTCGGGGCGAAAAAGGCGAGAATTAAGGTTTGTTAATTGTCGTCTGTTTGAGACGAAAAGATGCAATAGCGAGAACTTAAATTCTTTATTCACGGCGAAAAAACGAATGACACAGATCAGCCACCATTGTGTACATCAGTACGACACTTCTCGCGCATTACCTGTAGTGCAAGACAGCCTACGAAGCAAACATTTAGATGACGTGAGGCAGTTCCAGGAATGACGTTGGTTCAAACGACGCTACTATTTTTAATAGATAGAGAGACGTTTCAGTAAAATATTCCAACAGAGAACTATTAAGATTTCTGTTTCAAATTTTATTTGTTGAAAATCAACACGATTTAATCATACATAGTCAGCTTAATCGACAGACAACATGTGTGTGTCTGGTATAAAATCTGGATTACACATCGCATCTTAGCCATAATAAGCTGACTGTCCTTCAGTAACATCAAAATACACCGCAAAGTAATAAAAGTTGCATTGTGTTTGGGCTAAGTGATCATCGACTGATTATCAAACCTTTATTGCCACAGGTATACCTGTATATTTGTAACTCGTGTCTGCTCGACCGTGTCGCCGTCATCTTAAACCTTCCAAAGAATGCTTTGAATTATATAAATAGCTGAGGTATCACGCGGATCGCTACACAAGATTTGTATAGGATATCTACAGCTTCAGCCGATCGTTTGTCTACTCGACAGTGGATTTATTTACCAGAGTTCTTGTTTCGAATGATGTACTACCCTTTTTCTGGAATTATGTTTACTTTCGAGTGGTTTGTAACCTTGCTGACGTGAGATGCTGAACGCTGGGATGTCGATTATTCCTACCCGCTTGTTTATACATTTGGCGCTCTTTGCTTCGGAGGCTGACAATTCTGCAGTATTAGCACGGATGAAACAACAGCAGTTGAAAGTAAGTACTTTCTATAATTTGTCTTTTGTTTAAAGATTGTTACTAATTGCAAACCAGACACGCCCCAATAAGATAAACAAATATGTTAACAAGAAACTGGGTTATTTAAAGTTAGAATTTTAAAATATTTAAGGAAGGTATTGGTGTCTTTGAACCGAAATCCACTATAAAGCTTCATTTTTTAATCACCACTATTAATCCTAA